ACCTTCCCAACCATGTTAAAGACTGTACCTCTCTCAACCAGTTTAAGATAAAAACTAAACACTACCTAATAAATTCCCTGTAATCTACCTCACTCCTCTATTGTCAACCCATGGCTGTTATTTTCTTTTTTTTTTTTTTTAATCAACACTGTTTGTGAACCTATTGTATTTGTGCTGCTTTTTCAGTCATGTTCCCCCTTTTTTTTTATCTTTATTTGTATTTGTTCTCAACACTTTTTATTCTTTATGCTCAATTAGTATTAAGTTCTAGATATTAATGTTTTTCTTGCCCGAAACGCATTGCGTAATAGTGGCTTTAGGCATTGTATGTACTAGCTCTATCTACATATCAATCCATTAATGTAACATCACTTGTATGTATATACCTTACCTGAATAAACATCTGAATCTGAATCTGAATCTGAGTAGGGTATACCTCACGACATTGTCCAGCTGGTATCTGGAAGCTGTAACCATTGTAAAGGCTCCAAATCGTACATTGTGAACAAATGGAACGGGTTAGAATGGGGATATCTTTAAAGCAGATACTTTCACAGCTTCATATTTATACAAACCATTGCGTTACTGGTTAATGAATGGCTAGTAATGCGAGGTTGAGACACTGAACGACTCTGCCAGCACATTTTGGGGGTATATCTACCCGAGCATCTAGGTGGGTACAGGCGCACTCTCCCCTCCCCTGCCTTTACCCCAAGGCAATGGCAACCTTTCCATTACCCCGAGGCAATGGCAACCCTTCCTTTACCCCTAGGCAACAGCAAACATAATACCTATTACGAACATAATACTAGCACGTCGGCATTTGTCAAATACATCTGGGAATCGACTGATAACTCCATACTTCACCTTCCAGCTGGTTGCTAGTTGTTTCTGAACCCTCTTTAGATGGTTCTAACGGACAGTGGAAATTGAAGGGTTTGGCCGATGAGGAATTATATGTGAAACATTAAGTGTAATAAGGGTCCATTACGATGTTCGTTCTGACAGCTAAGAATTCTGTGTTTTGGGTCATAAGATGACCATATTTTCCTTGACTGGATAAGTGTAATTCACGATGTACAAGGAAATGTAGACGTTTATCTCTCAATGTTTGGTAATGTTTATTGTTTGTGATGTGTGTATATCTATGTATTAACACGATGTACTGAACGGGGTGAGAATAGCTTGAGCTACCTCATCCCTTTGTGTGTATTTTATATCTATAAACTTATTTCAATTTCACGATGTACATCGCATGTTTCGTCACCAACTGAAAATAAATTTGGAATTTGTAGTATAAGCATTGTACGGAGACAATGGTACGGTCACCTGGGTTTGGGGTTGCTGAAGTAGGGTTTAGTGTGTCCCGGGTGGAGTACGTGTACAGGTGTGGGGGCAGCATCCACACACCGCCAACAGTGTGGCCTCTCGTGAAGATGTTTTCCCACACGTGCAGGAATTTGCAGAAACTAGATCCGACTTACACTGTCGTTAACGTCAGTGTCTTGAGGTGTGAATTTGTTTTCTTAACATTAAAACATGGTATCTGCAAACATGCATCTTGGCTTTAAACTTGCCGTTATAAAATATTATAATTACAATACACACACATGCGTTCAACCTAAAGATGTGAAGTAATGTCATCTGATGGGGGAGAACCAGGTTTGCCTGCTGATAGATGTGTAGTGGGCGAGTCTTGCGCGCCATCGTAACACACACCTGACAAACATCTGACGTCTGAGGGAAGAGGAGGGGGGGGGGGGGTAGGTGTCACCTCGACATGACACAACTGGCCGCAGAAAGGATGAGGTGGGTATGTGGGCGTGTGCCGCATTTGTCTCAACGAGAAGAGCGACGCATAAGAGATTAACACACACAGACAGTGCACGTCTTGCTATGCACAGTGCATGATCTAGGAACCTTGAGGGATTGTAAAGAGTAGCGTGTAGTGGATAATGAGGCATGTATTTAGTGTGCGGGCGTGACAATACTGGAGAGCTGCAGGTGCTAGAGCAGCGTCATGGCCATTCTTAGAGGTCGCAATGTGAAGGTGTGGGTGGGTCGTCGCCCACGCACTATGACCAAGTCGACCTTTCACTGACGAGGTATTGAGGTGTGTGGGGGTGGCTCACTTCAGCCAGCCACATTAGCTTACCCCCATCCCCAGCACGGATGGGTATCGCACCAGGGCTCCCCGTACTCGGGTTCACCCTTATTTACTGCATACTAAACGTCTGTAAAATGGTGGTAGAAATATAGGTGTCGAAATTTTTCTTTGATTCGTAAAGTGACGGTAATTTGTCAGAATTACCTTTCCCAAAATAATATTTTCATTTGTTTCATTGGTGGGACATGTCATTATTATTGCCAACCTGCAGTAAACGTAAGAGAGGGAGCTGGCACAATTAAATCTTGTTGTGATGAAGTTGAGTGAGCGAGATGTACTCTACAACGTTAGAGGATGTGTGGGGATGGTCTCCAGACTGAGACAGTCATCAGCATGCTTTCCGCCCCCTGACCTTTCTGGAGGTAGCCGGGTCAGCTGACCGTGGGCGTTTACACCACAGTCGATGGTTTTCCTTATGAGGAACGATGTTTGACCTTTCGTAAAAAATCTTGGCGGATGTACATCCTCGTTAACAAGTGCTGGTTATCACCACTAGACCTGGCAGAGGTATGCCCAGGGTTCAGGAATGTACAGCACTATAAAGTAAACTGTTATACAAATTTGTTGCTTGACATCGCATGCCTAGAAAATGAACATGTGTTCATTAATATGTAAAAATAAAATTAGTAATTGGTGGGTTATATTTGTATTAAAAATGTAAACACTTTTTAGCCTTTCTCACCTCATGCCTCACCTCACCTCCAATAATGGTCTTACGGAAATGTTTGCAATACAGAAGAGCTGACTTTGAGCATCAGGTAATGGAGGACATTGAAGCCTCTCGCATACCGTAAATTACTAAATGGTCTCCATTACTATTGACGTCATTTCGCGTAGTGCTGCATTTTAATTTCATTTGGTGTAATTGTTATTTTAAGCAGGACTTTGTCTGCCGGTTCGGTAGTGACCGTAGCCTTGGGTAACCACGGGTGGGTTGGCGTGGGCGCTCCAGTGCTCATGTGTTCCTACATGATCAGACCGAAGGTCGTGCTGACCACTAGCTTGCATGCTTCTCCCACCTTCCCTTCTCGCACGTCAATTATCACATGGAGAAATTGTGGCAGGCCAAATTCCATACAATGAACTTTAGGATAATAAATGCATAGAACTTAGGCTATGGTATGTATGTGAACAATTTTGCAGCGTGTGTTTTACACACTAGTGCTCATGCACCTTCAACATGTACCGGTCTACAACTCGCCTAGTTGTACTTGCAAGGGATGAACTTCGCCTCTTTGGTCCCGCCTCTCAACTGCCAGTCAACTGCTGCACAGATTCTTGAGCCTATTGGGCTCTATCAAATCTACATTTGAAGCTGTGTATGGAGTCTCCCTCCACCACATCACTACCTAATGAATTCCATCTGTCAACTACTGACAGATAATAAAAATTCCAATGTGTCTGTTCCTCATTTGGGTACCAAGTTTCAACCTGTGTTCGCCTTCGTGTTCCACCCATGCTAAATATTTTTTGTCCACTCTCTATTCCTGAGAATTTGGTAGGTGGTGATCATGTCTCCCCTTACTCGTCTGTCTTCCAGAGACGTGGAGTTTAGCTCCCATAGCCTTTTCTCGTAGCTCATGCCTCTGTTTTAGGACTAGTCTGGTGGCATACCTCTGAATCTTCTCTAACTTTGTCTTGTGTTTAACTAGGTATGGACTCAATGCTGGAGCAGCATACTCCATGATTGGTCTGACATAAGTGGTATACAAGTTTCTAAAGGCAGGTCTTATGTTGGCCAATTTAGCTTATGCCCTTGATATCCTTTTTTGATGTGGACTTCTGGGGACAGATTCAGTGTAATATCAACCCTCCAGATCTTGCTCTCTCTGACTCTTGCGATATTTCACCTCCCAGACGGTACCTTGTGTTCAGCCTCCTGCTCCCTTCACCAAATTTCCTTACACTTTCCCGAGTTAAATTTTAGTAGCCAGTTTCTAGACCATTCCTCCAGTTTTTCCAGGTCGTCCTGTAGTCTATCTTCTGTTTTGATTATTCTCATAATTTTTGCATCATCAGCAAACATTAAGAAGTATGATTCTATACCCTCTGGAAGATCATTTACTTCTAGATTGTGTACCATCTAGATAATTTCTTAAAGAAGTGCTGGATTAACCGGGTTGTGGTACTCGACTAGTTGTACTCACCTAGTTGTGTTTGTGGGGGTTGAGCTCTGGCTCTTTGGTCTCGCCTCTCAACTGACAATCAACTGGTGCACTGAGTCCTGAGCCTATTAGCTTTTCACCATATGATTAATCTTGATTGTTAAATTTTTACAATTAAAACAATTTTTTTCTAATATTTGGCATAGGCATTGAAGGTGAAAGGTACATTGTAAACAGTCTCCGTGGTGTAGTGGTAAGACACTCGCCTGGCGTTCCGCGAGCGCTATGTCATGGGTTCGTATCCTGGCCGGGGAGGATTTACTGGGCGCAATTCCTTAACTGTAACCTCTGTTTAACGCAACAGTAAAATGTGAACTTGGATGAAAAAACGATTCTTCGTGGCAGGGGATCGTATTCCAGGGACCTGCCCGAAACGCTATGCGTACTAGTGGCTGTACAAGAATGTAACAACTCTTGTATATATCTCAAAAAAAAAAAAAAAAAAAATTGTGTTTAAGTGAAATAACATGGTGTGCCAAAGTGTTTCTGTATTGTATTTATACAGTAACTGTAAATATGATTGTAGGCACCTATGGGTATTCTCAAGTTTAGTATTTTAAGGTTAAGATATATTACAAACTGCAGTACTGTGCAGTAAACATTTTAAAATGTTCCTTATTTAAATGGTTTAGAATACTGTAGTTTTTATACTTCTATATATGTTGCAGGTTCGAGAAGGTGGTCGATAAGTCAGAATCTCGTGGACAGCATCTGGAAATAGTCTCGACTCGACTGGATGCTTTCACCGTCTCGGTTGAACACTTTGAGGAATGGTACATTGAAATTGTGGAAGTTGTTGAATCTCGGGAAGTTCTATCACTGGATGTCGAAAGGTAAGAAATACAATTTTGAGTGGTAGAATTATTCAATTAATGAAGTGCAAGTATTAATATAATTTACCATGTGTATACAATACATAGGATTTTTTTTTTTTTTACTCGGTATACAGTACTGTAATTTTAATTTTAACAGCTATGCTCAGAAGATTGAAGAAATTGCTCTTCAGCGAGATTCACGTACGGATGACTTTGATGGTATGATAAAAACTGGCAAAGAACTGGTTTCAAAGAAGGATGTCACAGACACTGCACCTGTGAAGGATAAAATTAAGGTTAGTTGTCTAATACAAAGCTATTGTGCATCACAATTATTGGCTAACAACATAGATAAGTACAGTGGTTCATATTACTGTGTGTGTTTTATCTGGCAATTGAAATACTGTATTGATGTTAACTTGTATTTACAGAACTTAGAAGGCCAGTGGAAAGAACTGAGTGACACACTAGATGAACGGGCACGTAATGGCAAGGAACGCTCGGAGCAACTTATTGCTTATGAACAGCTACGCGACCGCTGTACACAATGGATTACCACCACAGAAAACACTTTGGATAGTGCTCAAGCTGTCGGATTGGAACAAGAAGTTATTAAAAAACAGGTTGAGGACCTCAAGGTAAGATTTTAATAACACTTAATTGCAAGGCTTTTAGTAGGTTGTGCATTACGTTCACAAGACAGTAATGATAATAGAACTTAAATATTTCATAATGCTGTGTGTGTGTGTGTGTACACACACACCCACACACACACATACAAACACTCACTGTACTGTGTATAAATATATTTATAAACATAATTTGTTGGCAGCCAATTCTCAGAGAGTATCGTGAGTATGGCACCACAGTTGACAAGCTGAATGAGCTTGGTAATGCATATGATGCATTGCTACGTGGAGAAAGGCCAGAGAGTCCATCAAGAAGACGATCATCTGTGACTCCAGTGAAGCGTCCATCAATCACCTCGCCTCTTAAATCTCCAGGTAAAGTGGATTTTTGGTAACTGTTGATATGTGAATTTTGCCTTTGCTTTGTTTTTATTTGCATGATTTTCTATACTTTAATCCTTTTGCTGAGGTACCCTCTGGAAGCTTGTGTTCCCGCCAACAGTAGAAAAGTTAGAAGTAAAAACTGCCCATCAATCTATACAGTTAAAATGCTGATTACCTTACTTGTATACAATAATTTTGTTTAAAGTAATTATCAGGAGAAAGTGCCAAGCCATTCAACTATGTAATAAGACATGATTAAAGAAACTAAATACTAGGCCCATAAATGTTCACTAGACAATAAAAACACTGTACAGTACTGTAATACGTGTCATAATTCCTAAAGGATTTTTTTTCCTCTGCTCTCCACATTTATTAAATATTCAGTTGGAAAACGGTGTTCTTTTCATTTAAACAATTAAAATATTAAATATTTATAAGAAACCATCATAGTGAAATAATGATGAAAGTAACTTAATATCAGCAAACGTATTCTCAATGTTTAGAATATTAAAATAACGTAAGTTATCAGTTTTATTTAATAGGTGGGGAGTGGGGGTATTATGGACCTTGTCAGTTTTTTACCTATTGCACATGAACAAGTTTTCTTTTGGCTGGCAAATGCTGCAGTTATCTGCTTCAGACACCTGTCGTAGCTTCCAGAGAATGTGGAAACTTATTACAGATACTATACCTGGGTTCAGTCTCTCTTCACCTGTTGGGCTATCAAAAATGAATCGCAATAAAAGGGTTAAATGCATTAGTCTTAAAATTAAGGGGTTTTGGTATATGATACGTTTGTTCTTATAAAATCACATTAAGGATATTAGTTGTTCAAATGTTTTTTAAGTTATCCATGTAATTTCCCTTCCATGTTGTATTTGTAATGCTGTAGAAGAGTGTGGAAAAAATAAATTTAGATAAATGTAAATGAAACATGAAGGTGAGTCAATACAAAATCTTGAATTTCACTGAAGTGAAAATTTTAACAAATTTAGCAATTGTAATAATGACAATAGAGAATACTGTAGTTTTCAATAAAGAACGAGAGGAGGGCATTCTCACTTCGATAATTCACGATAGACCTTCCACGTGCAAACAAAAAGTAACTATTTTACACGAAGTAAATGAAAATAAAGTAGTTGTGTAATAATTTTGAGTCGCTTCTCTAAGTGACCATCTTAATCTGTCTGGTATGCCATATTTTTAACACCAAAAAAAAGGGCTTGTTACCAGTGTTTAAATTGATTTCAAAGATACAGCTGCCACTTGCTTTCATTTTTTATTTATTTTTACCCATTTCTAAATTATAATTATATCCAAATCTTATTTTATAACACAATGAACACACAATACACGGCATGTAATTTTCCAACAGATTTTCAGTTTACTCGTATGGTACTTCCAACCTCTGATTTATCTCCTTTGTGTTTCACCAATTCAAAAATTTCTGCTTGCTTCGTTTTTTCCTCATTGTTTATTTGTTCAATTACAGAATTTATACTGCTTTATCAGAAGCATGCCAGCACACACACTTGTAGTAAGTTGTGCATGTATGTGCACACATGAACATGCTTGTGCACATGGTCATGAAAACAAACACACGCACACTTAATTAGGTAATTACACACGCACACGTGCTAGATAGAGCCCTAGACAAACTAAAGGAATGGTGCAACAAATGGCTAGTTCAACCCAACCCAAAGTTCAACCCAAGTTGAAGTAAGGTTATGAAACTAGGCGAAGGAAATATGAGGTTAGACACTGGATACCAAATGGGAGATGAAGTCCTTCACAAAACGGACAGAGAGAAAGATCTAGGCGTTGATATCACGCCAAACCCGTCTCCTGAAGCCCACATCAAAAGAATAACATCGCCGCCATATGCTAGGCTGGCCAACATCAGAACTGCCTTCAGAAACCTGTTTAAGGAATCCTTCAGAACCTTGTACACCATATATGGTAGGCCAATCCTGAAGTATGCGGCCCCAGCATTGAGCCCGTACCTTGTCAAGCACAAGATGAAACTGGAAAAAGTTCAGAGTTATGCCACTTGGCTAGTCCCAGAACTAAGAGGCTTGAGTCATGAGGAAAGGCTATGTGAACTGTACCTCACGTCACTGGAAGACAGAAGAGCTCGAGGAGACATGATCACCACATACAAAATTCTTAGAGGAATTGATATGGTAGATGAGGATTGATTATTTAACACGGGTGGTACACTCACAAGGGGACACAGGTGGAAGTCGAGTACCCAAATGAGCCCCAGACATTAGAAAGAACTTTTTCAGTGTCAGAGTAGTTAGTAAATGGAATGCACTAGGAAGTGATGTGGTGGAGACTGACTCCATACACAATTTCAAATGTAGATATGATAGAGCTCGAGAAGCTCGGTTAGTGGTTAGAAAGGCAGGGGTCCAAGAGTTAATAGTTTGATTCTGCAGACACACATAGTAAATGCAAATAGCAAAATACACACACCACACACATAGCTAAATAAACAGTTCTAAAGTGTGTTTGTACAAAACGAGGATTTCAGAGACCCAGACCCAATACCAATTCCAGAGCACACCAGAGAGTACATAGAAATTCCCCAAGATGAAGTTTAAAAATTACTCAGAGGGGCTAGGAGTAAATAAAGCTGTGGACCTAATGGAGTTTCATCTTGGGTGCTGTGAGAATGTGCAACTGAACTGAGCATTCCACTCCAATTAATATTCCAGACATCCTTGTGCACAGGAATCTTAACAGATATGGAAAAAGGATACAATACAAATCTATAAAAATGGTAGTCAAGAGGAACCTCTAAATTATAGACCTATATCATTAACAAACACTAGAAAAAACAATTAAAGCGAAATTGGTTGAACACCTAGAGAGTAATGACATAATAACCGACAAACGGTATTGTTTTTGAACATGATGATCCTGTGTAACTCATCTTAGTTTTTATGATAGAGCCAGAGAAACAACAGGATAGTAGTGGTTGGGTTGACTGTGTCTATCTTGACCTAAAAATGGCCTTTGATAGTCCCCACACAAGAGGCTGTTCTGGAAACTGAAATATGCTGGAGGCATGACAGGGGAGTCTTCTGACAAGGATAGAAAATTTTCTAACAGACCGATGAGGGCAGTAATCAGAGACAATGTATCTTACTGGTGGAGTGTTACTAGCAGAGTACCACAGGGTTCAGTTTTTGCACCAGTAATGTTCATCTCTATAAACGATCTACCAGAAGGAATAAAGAATTATATGAACATGTTTGGGGATGATGCTAAGATACTGGGGAAGGTAGGAGACGAAGGCGATTGTAATGACCCTTCAAATCAATTTAGATAAAATAAATGCTTGGAACATCGATTGACAAATTTGAATTCAATGTGAATAAATAAATGCCGAGTTATGGAATGTGGATTCTGAGAAAATAAACCACACACAACTTGCAAATTATGTGGAAAGGAATTACGGAACACTAATAAAGAGAGAGACCTAGAGGTGGTTTTGGATAGTTAGCTGTCACCAGAGGAATACACACAGAACATTGTGAGAGTAGCGTATGCGTCGCTTTCCAACGTCAGACTTGCTTTTAATTATGGATGGTTAAATACTAAAGAAACTGTTCATGACTTTTGTGAGACCAAAATTGGAATATGCAGCAGATGTATGGCTAAATATCAAGAAGCACATAAGCTGGAAAAGGTACAAGGCATGCTACAAAATGGTTTCCAGAACTGAAAAACACGAGTTACAAGGAGAGAATAGAGACGTTAAACATGCCAAAACTAGAGGATAAAAGAAAAGAGGTGATATGATTTTCATTTACAAAGTACTAACGGGAATCGACCAAATTGACAATCTGAATTCGACGACCTGAAATCAGCAACTTCACGAACAGGAGGACACAGATTCAAGCTAAGAAAACAAAGATGCTGAAAAAATGTTAGAAAGTTTTCTTTTGCAAACAGTGTGGTAGACAGTTGGAACAAGCTGAGCGAGGTAGTGTTGGAGGACAAAACCGTCAGTAGTTTCAAAGCGTTATACGACAGAGTACTGGGAAAACAGGACACCACGAGCGTAGCTCTCATCCTGTAACTACAATTAGGTAATAACACATACTCATTCATTCATTTAGTTGTGGCATATTGTCAAACAAAAGGGTATTATTGTAAACTACAGAAGAAAGTGTAGAAGGAATCACATAGTATTTTTGTTTATGACAAGTGATGGTAGTTGGAATAAGCTCCAGGTGGTGGTTGCAAGTGTTAAGACCATCAAAAATTTGAAAACGTTTTATTGTAAAATATAAAATGCAATGCCACGAACATACTTCTCGACATGTAATTTCCAAATAATGATAAAACACACTTCTCGTGCACTTTTGAGAAAAGTATGAACAAGCTACTTTGAAGTTGCAAGATAACTTGAAAACTTATGATCGTATACATTTATATTACATCACTGAAGGTACATCATTGTTATAGGCTACATATTTAGCTACAGTTTGCCATATTGCTTGAAACTGCACTACTACAGCATTGTTTTTGAACAGATATCCCAGAACCTTTTCAGAAACTAATTTTCAGTAATGACTTTGTGTACTGCAATATTTTATAGTTGAATGAAGAAATATTTCAACTACTAAATATTAATGAATTAACATCTTTACCAAATACCCCCTAAATTGTAATTTGTGAGGGTTCTGAACAGGTTCTGGAATAACAAAGCTTAATGAAGTTTTATTTGCTTAGTATGGATGATGCATTTTGTTGGGTTTGTGTGTGTAGCGAGGCGAGTGTCACAAGATGCACGCAGTCCTTCACCATCTCACAAGTTGATGGGCTTCAACGGCTCTGGCCCCATGTCTCCCATACCAGGCGGCTATGCTAGCAGACGTACATCACAAGAAGGATTCCATCTTGATGGTTAGTCAGTAGTGCCAGTGGTTGTTGCATGAGGTTATAAGGTAGATGGGTAGAGCATGTAATATGCAAGAAAGATGGGTAAAGGTTAGCAGTGTTGGAACAGAGTTCACAAAGTTATTTAACATCAGTCTTCAGATTCATTGACTAAAAGTTTTGTTACAAATATTTAAATGTGATATCTGTAATTTTATTCCTATATATTTTACATTATACTGTACCATTTTTAGGGTGAGAGTTTAGTGCATTGCTAATGTATGTATGATGAATTTTCAGGGCTTTTGTGTAGTTTCTTGGTGCTTGGGCTGCTTTTATTATAAGGTTTTTTCAAAGTGTGAAATGGTGAACTTAGCAACTGACTTCCATAGCCTTATTCATATTTTAATAATAGATATGGGTTATATTTTCATGTACACTAGAGAAATAAATTAAATGTTATAAGGAACACCACTAATCCACGTTGTTTCTAACAGATATGAGTCCTATCCAGAAAGAGTTGATGCAAGTGAACAACCGTTATGATATGATTGGAATGAGGCTTACCGATCGTCAGAATGACTTGGATATTATGAAAGATGAACTGAAGAAGGTGGCTGACAGTATAAGATCCATCACATTAGCTCTAGACAAATCAGAGCGCAGTATGCCAAGAGAAGCTGTACCTACCACAAAGGAAGAAGCTGATAAACATAATAGACAGTGCAAGTCTATACTTGATGAACTTCAAGAGAAACAACCTGCTTTGGATTCATTGAAGATACAGGTAGCAGAATTAATAAAGAAGCGACCAACAGCTCCAGGTGCCGATATCTTGCAAGATCAAGTAGACCTTGTGAATGATCGTTTTAAGGAACTGCAGGGTCGATTGAAAGATCGCCTTAGTTTCCTGGAGCATATAAAAGACTTCCTTGATAGTTATGATTCTCTCAACAACTGGCTTGTTTCTAAAGACAGAATGATGACTGTTCTTGGACCAATAGCATCTGATCCTCGTATGGTTCAAATGCAGGCACAGCAAGTTCAGGTATTGAGAGATGAATTTCAGGCCCAAGAACCAAAACTGGGTGATCTTAACGATGCTGGTGATACCATTATTGGTGTGTGTGAACCAAATTCAATGGCTGCTAAGAAAATCAATGACAAATTGGACAGCATTAACAATAAATGGACAGAACTCATTGGTCAGTTAGATGCTCGTGATTCTGCTCTTAATGCAGCTTCAGATGCTAGTACAGACTTTTATGATAATTACAACAAATTGCATGATGCACTTATCAAGTTGGGTGATGATTTTGATGAAGTTATTGCTGCTGGTGCAGATACTGCTAAACAGATAGAGGCTGTAAATGCTCTAGAAAACGGTTTGGAAACAGCACGCGGTACCTTGATTGATCTTGAAGGACTTGGTGAACAACTTACAGCAATTTTATCTGATCCATCGTCAAAGAATGACATAAAGTCTAAAATTACTCAGCTTAACAAGATGTTTAACAACCTTGAAAGGAAGCTAGGTAACCGTAAATCTGAATTGGAAGCATCACTCAGAGATGAAGAAATGTTTGGCCAGTCATGCCATGATATTCAGGAATGGTTAGCAGATCAAGTAGCTCACCTGAAGGATCGTCTGTTAGTTTCTGCAGACAGAGACGTACTGTCAAATCAAGTGGGTGACTTTGAGCCCATTTATAAGGATCTAATGGCTAAAGAACATGAAGTAATCATGATGATCAATAAGGGTAAGGATATAGTTGCAAAATCATCTCGTAAGGATCTCAGCCGTCAGTTATCAGAGACTTTGGATGCTATCAAGAAAGAATGGGACAATGTTCGTAAGACAGCTGTAGACCGCCGCACAAGACTACAGAAATGTATGGATACATGTAAAAAGTTCCACAGTCAACAGGACAAGTTCAATCCTTGGTTAGACACTGCTGAAGAAAAAGCACACAACTTAGAACCTATTGCCTTTACAAAGAAAGCAATTGATAAGCAGATAAAGGAAATTCAATATTTCAAAAATGAAGTGTCTCGGCATAGTGGTGAATATGAGAACAATAAAACTGCTGGTGAAAAGCTAATTTCATGTACAGATACTGATCATGAAGGAGTTGAAGAAGCTCTTGCTTTCATGAAGGAACGCTGGGACCATCTTAATGCAGTTGTTTTTGCTCGAGCTCAAGACTTAGATGATGTTGCTGCAAAATTGACAGACTTCAGTGACAAAGCCAGAGATCTTGATCACACATTGCAGCGTTGTGGAGACAGATTAGCTTCTCTTGATTCCCTTTCTGGAGCAGGAAAGGATGCAAAGTCATTAGAGAGGATGAAAGCTCTTCTTGATGAAACAGATGCACTTGGTAAGCAGGTGGACCAAGTAAAATATAAGGGTGAAGATTTATGTGGGACAGCTGATGCTCTTGGTTCAGATGCTAATCATATCCATGAGGAGGTTGAAAGACTCACAGATCGCTTTGGTGACTTGAAGGGTAGATTGGAGGAGCGCTGTCATGATCTGGAGGAGGCTTCTCAGGCAGTAAACCAGTTTGGTGCACTCGTTAAGAACGTAGGTCAAGAATTAACTGGTTTGGATGATGAACTTGATCGCATGAGACCTGTTGGAAGAGACACAAAGACTGTTACTAGTCAGATTGATCAGCTTCACAGTTTTCTGTCAAAGGTTGACCTCAAGAATGAGGAAATTGAGGATGCTAAAACAGCTTTAGATGATTTAGTCACTCAAGGATTCACAAGTGCTAATAACCGTGCAGCTGAAGATCAAATTAAACAGCTTGGACGGCAGCTGAAGAAAATACAAGACCGATGTGATGCTCGTGGGAAGGATCTTGATACTGTTTTGAAAAAGTTAGAGAATTTCTATGATAAGTACAACTCTGTCATGGATGATATACAAGAAGCAGACAAGGAAGGAGATACATTCAAACCAGTAGGTGCAGATGTAGACACTATTATTACCCAACAGGAGGAGTTCAAGCAGTTCAAAGGAGAAAGGGTAGAGGCTCTTGGAAAACAGGTTACTGAATGTAACAAACTTGGACAAGGTCTTATTCAGAGTGCTGCTTCTGGTGTTAACACACAAGGCCTTGAAAATGACATTGATGGAATGAATGACTTGTGGAACAAGTTAAAAGTAATGATTGGTGACAGAGAAAAAGCTTTGGATAAGGGTTTAATGCAGTCGGGTAAATTCCAGGATGCATTGGATAGTATGCTGCAGTGGCTAGGAAACTTTGAAGAAATGATGGAGAATCAGGCACCAATTTCAGGTGAATATTCTGTGGTAAAGGCCCAAGCCCAAGAACAGAAGTTCTTGAGAAAAATGCTTATAGATCGCCAAAATGAGATGCAAGCCCTTCTTGCCATGGGTCGTAATCTAGCAGCTGATCTAGAACAATCTGAAAAGGCTGCTGTGGAAGGACAATTGGATGACTTGCTTAATCGCTTTGATGATGCTAGTGCTCGATCTCAAGAACGCATGGAAGCTCTTGAAGAAACGCTCAAGGTTGCAAAGGAATTCCAAAATAAACTTAATCCTATTACTGAATGGCTAGATCGTACTGAAAAGAAATTGAAGGAGATGAGCACTGTACCATCTGATGAGGAAAAAATACAAAAACTTCTTGATGAGCATGATAACTTACACGATGAGATTTTAGGTCAAAAACCTGCATTTGATGACCTTACTGATGTTGCCACTGCTCTTATGAGTCTTATTGGAGATGATGAAGCCAATGCTTTAGCAGACAAATTACAAGCTACCACTGATAGGTATGGACAGTTAGTAGAAGACTCTGAAGTCCTTGGGCGTCTCCTCCAAGAGTCAAAGGTTGGTCTCCGCCACCTGGTACTTACATACGAAGACTTGTTATCTTGGATGGATGAAATGGAAGCTAGATTATCAAAGTATCGCATCTTGTCAGTATTTGTGGAAAAGCTCTTGGAACAAATGGATGAACTGACTGATCTTGGAGAAGAAGTAGTTGCACATGAGAAACAAGTGGCAGAGGTTATGGATGCTGGATCTCATTTGATGAAGCACATTTCAAGTGATGAAGCTCTTCAGCTGAAAGATAAGCTTGACTCTATACATAGGCGCTACAATGATCTTAGTGCTAAAGCTACTGATCTTCACAAAGCTGCAAATGAGGCCTTGCCTCTGGTACAACAATTCCACAGTGCCCATGAACGTCTTGGATCTTGGATGTTGTCTGTTGAAGGTCAGCTTCAGAGCATAGATTCATCTGGTCAGGGGCTGTTGGAGGAAGAAATAGAAAGGCTAGCTCATGAAATACAAGAAAATCGTCCATTAGTGGAGGCAGTAAATTTGGTGGGGCCACAGTTATGTCAGATTTCTCCAGGTGAAGGTGCTGCAAATATAGAGACTTTAGTAACAAGAGACAACAGAAGGTTTGAACAAATTTGTGAACAAATTCAGAGAAGAATGGAGAGAATTCACATGTCCAAACAAAGGTCACAAGAAGTCACTCAAGATATTGATGAGCTTCTGGGCTGGTTCCGCGAGGTAGAAGGCCAGATACGCGAGGCTGAACCTCCTAGTGTGGATCCTGAAGAAATTAGAATCCAGCTGAAAGAACATAAGGCTCTGAATGATGATGTTGCAAGCCAAAAGGGCAGAGTAAGAGATGTTTTATCTAATGCCAAAAAAGTATTGAGAGAGTCTCCACATCATGAAGACACAAGTGAGCTTAGAGAAAAAATGGATGATCTTAAGGAAACTATGGAATCAGTTTCTAAATTATCATCAGATAGGCTATCGACACTGGAACAAGCCTTACCTCTTGCTGAACATTTCTTTGAAACCCACCATGAGCTTGATGACTGGCTTGCAGTTATGGAAAATGAGGCAATGGTAATGGATACTCCTGCTCTTAGGGCTGATCAGATCATTCGCCAAATGGAGAAGAACAAAACCTTCCTTCAGTCTATTGGTGACCATAAACCTCTTCTTGACAAACTTAACAAAACAGGCGGAGCACTTTTGAAACTTGTTAATGATGAAGATGGTGCTAAAATACAAGAACTTTTGGAAAGTGATAATGACAGATACAATGCGCTTAAATATGCACTTCGTGAACGTGGTCAAGCTCTGGAGGATGCCTTGCAGGAAACTAGTCAGTTTGCTGATAAATTGGATGGTATGCTTTCTGCTCTAGCCGAGACTGCTGACCAAGTGAAGAATGCCGAACCTATTGCAGCCCATCCCGAGAAGATCCATGAGCAAGTACAAGAAAATAATGGCATCATTGATGATCTTGACAGAAAAGAATCTGCTTTTACTGCTGTAAAGGCTGCTGCAGAAGATGTCATCAATAAGGCATCACGAAATGATCCAGCTGTGAAAGACATAAAAACTAAGCTGGATCGCCTGAACAAGCTGTGGGATATGGTACAACTGGCAACTACTCAGCGTGGTCAGTCTCTGGAAGATGCTCTTGCTATGGCTGAAAGATTCTGGGATGAATTGCAGAATGTTATGACTGCACTGAAAGATCTTCAAGAAACATTAAAGGCTCAAGAACCAGTAGCAGTTGAACCACAAGCTATTAAACAACAACGTGAAGAATTATCTCAAATTAAGGTTAAGATTGATCAGACTAAGCCAGAAGTAGAACAAGTTCGCCAGACTGGTCGTGACCTGATGACAATTTGTGGTGATGCTGATAAACCTGAAGTTAAGAAGAACATTGAAGATCTGGATTATGCTTGGGATAATGTTACTGCTCTATATGCTAAACGTGAAGAGAACCTAATTGATGCTATGGAGAAAGCTATGGAATTCCATGACACATTAAGGGTGAGTTAGAACCAAACTTTATTACTTTTATAGTACAAGAAATAACTACATAAATGGTTAGTCTTTTGTCAACAATAGAAGCATTATCATTTGAAAAGTTAGTTTTTATTTATTTGATTATACATATAATACAGCACTGGTAATCTTTTGAATTTCCTACTTTAAATATTTTGCTATTGCTTCTAACTAACATTTTGGAAATGGACACACTGCTACATAGTCACTACCTGAAGCAAGGGACCCTTCCCAGAGGAAACTGGGTACTGATATTATAGATAGATACCCTGTAGTCTTTTAAGGTATTTCAGTGTAAATTAATGTGAAAGTTTTTTGTTGATGATGACAAGAGCTTAATTATACAGAATATGCTGGAGTTCTTGGAGAAGGCAGAGGATAAATTTAGTGGAATGGGTCCCATTGCTGGAGACATTGAAGCCATCAAAGGACAGATTACTCAACTGCACAAGTTTAAGGATGAGGTTGATCCGCATATGGTGAAAGTTGAAGCCTTGAACAGGTAATGTATTCTGTATAATTGTTTACTTTACTGCAATATATTTATTGACTTAATTCTGAAGGTAACATTTAATACACACAGAAATTGTAACATTTAATGCTTTACATGTATATAGATTAAGTAAATCATAAATTTAAAGGGTAATGTATTATTGAATATAATAAGTGAATAATTTAAGTAATATCTTTTAAATGTTTCTTTTACATTGTCTCGTGATGTATAACACCAGGAGTCTAAGAAGGCAAGTTAGGTTGGTTCATTATACTTGTGGCTTCACGTATAGCAAATTATGCTTTGTAGATAAATAATTGTGTTTTCTGGAAATTGTTGAAGTTTGTCTATTTTTGTCAAGTGTTATGCTCATGCCTGATAACTTTGAATGGGTTTACCACAATATGAATTAGACTTCTTAGTCCTTAACCCCCTCAGCTTGGCACATTGATATGCAGCCAGTATTGATTCAGGAACGTGGGTGTGTTATTAACCCTGAATACAAAGAAAAACCGATATTCTATCAAGGTTGTCAATGGAATGTAGTCAATATTGAAGCATGTATATTATGAAGCACATATACAGTAAACAGTACAGCATATTTGTTTTAAAATATACTGATTTTCATATGGCATTTACTTTTCAATATTGTCTCTGTTCAGTAATCAGAATCATATGGGACCCACCCCATTCGAGCTAGCTGAACTTTCGACGTGACTGAATTTCTTATCAAGAATGTACCAAAATTAACACTTGCCACTTTTTGTACCACAACGAACATAATTCATATTTCTACATGAAAATTCCTGCCACTTACTCCCAACATTCACTCAAAAATAAAGCACAAACTTAACCCAAATTCCTGGTTTAGCTAAAAATTAAAGCACTGGAACTTGAATTCATTTGGGTTACCTTAAGATTCGGGGTACTGGAATTCGGATTACCAAGCTCTTATAGTACTTGAAAGAAATTTAATCACTATGGCATGTACTTGATATTTTTATATTATTGTCTCCAAACTCGAAGTGATCGTCTTTAAACATTTTCTATAGAAACTAATGAGAAATATTAACAATCTTTAAAAAATCTAGATATGAGTGCACTATTAAAATTTTGTAATTGTGTATCTCATTTTGGTAATCAGATTACTATTAATACTTCTTGCAGAACTTAAAATATAGTACAGTGTATTAATTCTGTATTACATTCAATGCTGGCAATTTAGTAGGTAATTAGGATTTAATATCTTTTTAACAAGCTCACCGATTCAGTATTTCATCCAATGGGGGTGCCACTCGTTGGTACTCTTCATATATGGGATACCCAAGTGTTGTTCTTGCGAGATAAACATTCAATTTTCCCTGGATTAATTTAAATAATATTTTGAATACGAGAGCTCAAAATAGCCTCGTTATGTTGCCAGAAGTTTTGAGAATCTGCCAAAATATGAGGAAGCTTGTAGTTTTTACTATACAAAAAACGTACTGTACTTCAGCTAAACAAGCTAAGAATTGTTTGTGTGCGTCCTTTCCCTCATGCCATAATCAACTGTTGGGTATGTTCGTGGAGTAGATATTTCTTCTGCCTCAATCTTTCAAAGGTTTTTTGTTAAGAGTAAAGGAAAAATAGAAATGCAGAGTTTAATAATGGGAAAGAAGTAAATACTGGCAAAATTCCATCATATGTGTTATGTAACTTTAGGAAGAAAGTGAGGGAAGAGCATAGCTTTAACTGTAAACTATCAACCATGTTTAAACCAGGGAACACACTTCCCTATTCCTCCATTTGCCAAATGTTAAAAATATAATCCATGGTCAGATTTTACATTTGGGGGTACCCCTGTGGTGTAGTGGTTACGTTTTGGTCTTGTAAGCTAGAGGACCCAGACTTGAATCCTGGGACGTGTGGAATGATTGGGCACGCTTCCTTCACTCAGTTTGCCCCCCTGTCCTCCCAGTTGTAATTGGATGTAAATATGAGTATTGTACCTGGCCTGAGGTTTGTCCCAGGCTTGGTATTGATTAGATAATTGTTTAAATTTATATTATTTCTAATATTTTCTTGTTGAAAGATATACTAGCTAAATCTGTTACTAAATCTGCCAGCAAATATTGTTTTTCATGTTGATGTATGTACGCCATCAACTAATCAAATCAACTTCACGAAATTGTAAGAAAAATATGTACCGTGTATAAATAAATACTTTAGATTGAGCAAATAGTGATACTATCCGTTGCTAATGCTGCATACACATTTCTTCGTTTACCTGTATGTTGCCTCAAAAATATTCACTTAGTCAAATTCTTGGGGACCCTGTAACTTGACTATATTCTTGGGCGTTTCTGTAACTTGTGACTATTCTTGGGCGTTGCTGTAACATATGACCTCTTGGGGGACTGTAACTTGACTGTATTCTTGGGCGTTTCTGTAACATATGACTTCTTGGGGGACTGTAACTTGACTGTATTCTTGGGCACTCTGTAACTGGACACTATTCTTGGGAATTTCTGTAACTTGCATAGCCAGAGAAAATGTGTATGAAATTCAATTTCATTTTATTTTCTATTTTCTTTTAGGGGTTTCAAAAAGCCAGGAGGAAAGTGGCATGGGTAAATACCACCTGATTTATAATGATTCTTCATTACAGCTTTGTTGAAGCATGGAGTTATGCTTATCAAGTTTAGGGGGTTAAAATATAAATTTGAGAGTTAATGAAGGTTTTTTTAATTCATATAAATCTAGTTTTCCAATAATACATTTTTAAATAGCCAGTAAGTGTGGATAATATTGATATTAAGACGCCAAGTTTTGTTATGGCTTAAATTAGTGGAATTTTGTGCAGTACATATATAATTTTTTTATAATTTAGAGAGTACTGTATGCATGTTTTTTATTTTTATTTTTATTTTAGGTGTTATCTGATAACACAGTTGCTTACTGGCTAAAATGTGTTGCATGAAGCTTTTTAGCTGTGCTAGATGTAAACACACCATTATTTTTTGTTTACCTTTACATTGTAAAAAAAAAAATGCTAATTAAAATCATAAATCCCTTAAAAGAAATGTGAACATAGTTTAAAGATTTATACAGATTTTTATTTAACATTTTGATATTAAGAAGACTTTCATTTTTTTTAAGCAAGTAATTACCGGTAATATATATTTGATTAAGGAAAGTAGTTGGCAGCACCAGGTTTATCATGAGAGGCATAGGAATAAAACACACAGGCATGCTCTTGTTGAAGCTTATTATTTCATTACCAAAATAATTGTGGCTGTAAACTGACAATGTATATTGTGTTAATCCTTTCATTATAAATTGCAGACAAGCTCAAGAGTTGAAAGAAAGAACATCAGCTGATCAGGCAGTTGCCATTATGGAACCTTTAGGTGAAGTGAACAAACGTTGGGATGAGCTGCTGAAGGGGATTGTTGAAAGACAGCGCAGCTTGGAATATGCTCTTCTTAAGCTTGGACAGTTCCAGCATGCTCTCAAGGAATTAATGATTTGGATTGAACGCACAACAAGAACTGTAGACGATCTGAAGCCAGTATTTGGTGACCCGCAAGTTATTGAGGTTGAATTAGCAAAATTAAAGGTTACAATCAATGACATTCAGGCTCATCAGTCCAGTGTTGATACCCTTAATGATGCTGGTAGGCAACTGATTGAAGCTGATAAGGGGTCTGAAGATGCTTCTAATACACAAAAGAAACTATTAGAACTAAACAAACAGTGGAGTGAATTACAGGATAAAGCAACTGGTAAACAAAATGATTTGGAAAGTGCACTTAGAGAAGCTCAAATATTCAGTGCTGAAATTCAAGATCTCTTACTTTGGTTAGGAGATATTGATGCTGCCTTGTCAAGTTCCAAACCAGTTGGAGGTCTTCCAGAAACTGCAAAGGAACAGCTCCTTCGCTTTATGGAGATATATGAAGATTTGGAGGAGAACCGTTCTAAAGTAGAAGCAACTCTTCAGCAAGGGCAGGAATATCTGAAACGTTCTCGTGAAGGAGCTGCTACTAATCTCAACCATAGCCTTCGTACCTTAAAACAACGTTGGGAAAGTGTCATGAATCGTGCTAGTGATAAGAAGATCAAGTTGGAGATAGCTTTGAAAGAGGCTACAGAATTCCATGAAGCATTGCAAGCATTTGTCGATTGGCTTACTGAAGCAGAGAATTTGTTAAATTCCCAACATCCAGTGTCACGTGTTCTGGACATCATTCTTGAACAGATTGAAGAACATAATAACTTTAAGAAAGATGTCACTGCACATAGAGAAGTAATGCTTAGTTTAGATAAAAAAGGAACACATCTTAAATATTTCAGTCAGAAGCAAGATGTCATATTGATTAAGAATTTGCTAGTTTCTGTGCAGCACCGTTGGGAGAAAGTAGTATCTAAAGCGGCAGAAAGAACACGCTCTCTTGACCTTGGATTTAAGGAAGCTAAAGACTTCCACGATAATTGGAATGAATTGGTCACTTGGCTCGATGATGCTGAGAACTCCCTTGATGACTTGGCTGCTAATGTTGGAAATGATCCTGAAAAAATTAAAGCCCAAATTGCCAAGCACAAGGAATTCCAAAAAGCTCTTGGGGCCAAGCAACCAGCCTATGATAGTACAATGAAGCAGGGTCGAGGTCTGCAGAACAAGGCACCAAAGTCTGATGAAGAGACATTAAAGCAAATGATGACCGACCTCAAGAACAAGTGGAACAGTGTTTGCCAGAAGAGTGTAGACCGCCAAAGGAAGCTAGAAGAAGCTCTTCTCTTCACTGGTCAGTTTAAAGATGCTACTCAAGCTCTTTTGGATTGGCTTAAGAAGGTAGAATTAGGGCTTGTTGATGATGGGCCAGTTCATGGAGATCTGGATACAGTTATGGCACTAGTTGAGCAACACAAGGCATTCTGTGCAGAACTCAAGAACCGCTCTGTACAAGTTGGGAGTGTACGGCGTACAGCAGATGAACTGTTAATCAAGGCTAGTGCTGAAGATGCTGTTACTATTCGTTCACAAATTGTCGAGTTAGTAAGCTCTTGGGAAAGGGTTGAGACGGCTACAGAAATTCGTACTAGACGGTTAGAGGAAGCGTTACAAGCTGCTGAACAGTTACATAAGGTTCGTTTGCTTAGTACAGTAATTATAAGTGTTCTGATATTAAACCTGCAAAAGATCTAATATAAATAAGGATTTGACATTTATACTGAAGTCCTCAGCTTGAGACATTGCTGGAAAGAGATGCTGTTATAAACACTTAAAACATTGACATCTGTATTGTTTTTAGACACTTAACACACTTTTTATACACTTCACTGATCAATGGTTTCCCTTTTCAGGTTGTGCACATGCTGCTTGATTGGTTGTCTGATGCAGAGATGAAACTCAGGTATGCTGGACCATTGCCAGATGGTGAAGAGGAGACAAGACAACAAATTGCTGAGCATGAAGCATTCTTGGCCGAATTGAATCGTAAAGAAAGAGAAAAAGACGATACAATTGCCTTGGCTGAAGATATCCTTGCCAAAGCTCATCCAGATGGTGTTGCAACTATTAAGCACTGGATCACCATTATTCAGTCGAGGTGGGAGGAAGTTATGGCATGGGCCAAGCAGAGAGAAACCAGATTGGCAGACCACCTTAGAAGTCTACGGGATCTTGCTGGACTTCTTGATGAGCTCATGCGCTGGCTTATACAGGTAATGTATAACACTTCTAATACTGTGTAGGTGATTTTTCACATACCTTGTAAATTTAACCTAAATCCCACTTCCAAGAGTGTCATGCCAATAGTTACACTGAATGCTTTACTGATATTATAAATACTGGTACTAATTACCTCTGTTAATTACATTTTTCTTTTATCAGTGCACAGAGTGTATTATCACTGTCAGCTAAAAAAAAATTATGGAGTTCTATATACAGTATGAAGATAGTTTTTCATGCTGTTTATTATAAATGTTAAAGAAATTAAAATTTTACATGATTAATTTGTTAGGTACACCTTTAATCACTGTACTGTGCACCTGTTTTTGACAAAAACTTAGTGCAATTGTTAAGGACACATTTTTGTTGTTTTTATAAATGTTCAGGTAAAGCTAATGCCAATGTTTCCAAACTCGACTAATTTCATTTCAAAACGCAAAGTGATGAAAACATTAAGAAAATTAAAATATAGCCAAATTAAAAAAAAAGACAACTCTCAAAACGACACTGTATGTTGGCCGGCGCAGTTGAGGGGTTAATTAAATATATTAACGAGGGATATGTTTTGTGAGTATCTGCTTTGTTTAGTAGTTTCCATTCTGTATATTAAGGATACCTCCTCTTTATATCACCCTGAACATTCAAAACCTAGGTATGATACTAAAAGGAAGGTTTCTATTTTAAATTGCACTTTGTGGTATATATAATTATTATTAATTAAGGCTAATAATCTGGGAATAACTGATGAAACTCTGATCTAAATTTTTAAAAGCTATACAATACTTTCTAAATTATTTTAATATTTTTTTTTTACACTTAAACTGCAATTATCATTTTAAACAAAATTTTATTATACCCTTTAGGCTGAGAACAATCTGACAATCTTGGAAGCAGAACCGCTGCCTGATGACATTCCTGCCATTGAGGCTCTCATTACTGACCATAAGGAGTTTATGGATGAAATGCAGAAGAAAGAGCCCGATGTGCTTAGCATATGTAAGCCTACCAAACCTCGACCATCACTTTCACAGCAAGGCAAAAAGCGATCAAGAGCATCTCTTGGGTAAGTTGCTACGTTACTCTTAGTTGCAAGTCACTGTAAACCCTGGAGTGCATAGCAATGCTTAAGTTTATTCTTGTACCAAATGGACTTTTTTTGTTTGAAAGGCTTGTACAGTATATGCTAGTTAGTTAGACTCCTCCAGGTGGATCTTATGGTGAAAGTTTAATTTTAGTTTTTTATAATCTAAGATTTGCTTAAGCATGAATCTTCTTTTTTTTATTAGTATTTTGTAATCTAGTGTATTTTAATACATCAAGCATTGATATCAAAATATTTTTCTTGAGTGGGCTTTCATATTGTTTTTCTGTGCTGGCTCATTAGTATTTCCTTGGGGAGTAAGGCTTTAATACCATAGTGTTCCAAAATGTGCTAAGCCCCTAAGACGTCTGTGGCCAACCAAAACCAGGATCAAAATTTGGTTTGCTGAAAGAGACGAGGTAAAAAGAGGGTGGGGTGCTTGGAGATCATAGATATGCTTGAAACTGGGAAAACCACCTAAAACGTCACGTGCAGAACAAACCAAACTGTTCATTTTTAAAAATGAAAATTAAGAAAAACAGGAAAAAATCTCCAATTTTTCCAACTGTCACCAGATGGCTGCTCATTTAATCTATGGTCCTGGTCTCCAGTCACCGTTACTTGCATGCCTGGTACTAACCAAAATGTGCCTATGTGTAGGGCACATTCATTGGGTTGAAAGCAATTTGGGGGCCACATAAGTTAGGGGTGACAGTGGACAGGAATCTGGGCGATCTGACCTGCCATCTGGTGGCAGTTAGGCGAGTCAGTTAGCAGTGTTTACTCACTGCTAACTGTTGTTGGTACCGAGTAATTATTTATGTATTTATCTTAAAAACAGTGGTTTTTGTTTTGACTGTGTGACTTTCTGGGTAGTTTCGTCACTTTTGCGTTGATCTGACTCCAAAGTTTCCCTCGCCTCTTTGAAGGAACCAGATTCTGAAGCTGGTGTTAGGAAGACAACCCAAGTCTTGTGGGGGAGATAGAACCTGGTACATTATGGGGACTCTGTAGTACCAAAGCTTTAAGTGCTGGGAAGCTGTTGAGATACTGCACAGAAAGTGTCATTTCATTATACTCGCTGCTTTATTATTTTTTCTTCTTAGTCTTTCTAATTGTTAGGTGCATGGATGTTTTTCTGAAATATATTCTTGTATACTCTTGTGCTTTTAAGTACTGAAATAGGTACATATTAGGAAATGTATATTTACCTTTAGATTTAATACTGTAAAATTGGTAAAATATCAGCCTTGACACAAATATTTTTAAACTAATTTCATGAACATAATCAATATGTTCAGTAATCAATTTCATAATCAACTATCACGATATTAATAATACAGTACTGTACTATATTTTACTTGTCCTTAGTACAGTATAATTTTTTGTCATGTGAGCTTTGTGTTCAGTGAGTTGTCATAATTCCTTGGTACATTATGGTAACTTTATGGGTGATTCTGTATTCCGTGGTAATTTAAAGATGACAATATAAACTTGCTTATTTCCAGGGTATTAGTCGTCCTGTAATTAATTTGAAGAGTTCATTATATTGATTGATTTTCTAGTTCGTAAAATCAAAATTAAAGCTTTTAACTTGATTTAAAAAGCAGATTCATTCTTAACTAAGGGATATTTCAATATGAATCTGTCTAAATAGTTGAATGAAGCTAGCTTCATAATCTTGCAATCCAAAAGTCTTTGTATATTTTTTGCTCTTCTGTTGGAAAAGCAACACTTGTGCAGCTTTGCTTCATAATTTTCTAATACAGAGAGCAATTTAAGACAATTTCTTGAGGTCCAGTTTTTCCACATTATTAAGGTAGTTTACTGAAAAGTTGGTAAATTCAGTCATGGACATAATATTCAATGATATTATTTTCAACAATACTCTGCAGTGCTTAAAATTCACAAGTGTATTACAAATGCATATAGTTTCAGATACTTACATTATGTATAGCACTATGCTCTTAGGTTCTTTCAATATTGCCTATGTTGCACATTGCATGTGTTCACAATAACTGTATTACAGTCGTGAGAGTGAGAGTCCAGGAAGAGAATCGTCACCAGAATTTGATTACCCATCACGGCGGTCCAGGTGAGAGCTAGAATTTAGGGTAGAGCGGCTTTTTTTCTGTGGTGATTCAGGTACTTCATATTAAAATGCCTAAATTTCATGTAAGCAATTGTTTTCAGTTAATTTTAACCGATGTATTATTTAATTTTTCAGATGTATTTTAGATGTGAATTACCTGAACATGTTACTTTGTAATATACAGTATACAGTTATTATCTTTTAATGTTAACTTACCAGATTCTTTGTTGGCTGACTTAGATGTGTTTTAGTGTATATATATATATATATATGTATTTGTGATTTGGTATTGCATTTATTGACCTGATATGGATGCATAAGACTTAATTAACATTTACATATTTGTTTCCTTTTTATAGTCGTATCAGTCCAGATCGAGAATCCTCGCCAGGACCTAAATCTCGAAAGTCCAGGTAAAAGAGACTTGCACATTCTTGTTAGTACCCCTAATATGAATGTGTTCCTACTAATTTTTATAATATTTTTGGCAAGCATTTTATACCTTACTAACACTTCACTAATATATGTGTGTATGTATATAATATACATATTATATATATATATTACTGTGTACTTTGTAAAATCCTGGTTAAGAAACTCGTTAGAAAAAAATTTCAAAAATTCCACACAGTCTAGTACAATAAATGTACCCCCTCTATTGGGCAAAGTGTTTTACCGAGCAAACATTCATGCTTTGAAGCTATAGCTATGCCTATGTATTGGACAAGACAAACGGCAACACCTCATTCTCAATCAAATATCCACCAAATGCTAAGAAGTATTATGTCGTGTACTGTGTAAATAGATTTCTTCACATGATGGTTGTGAGTACTAATCGTGGTTCTGAAGATGTAGTGAGGCAGGTGTTGCAGGTCAACTTTCATAAGTCGAGCCTGGCCTCGGGCCAGGCTTGGGGAGTAGAACTACTCCCAGAATCCCATCAAGCAGGTATCAAGCAGGTGTGGGAAGTGGGTGAGAGTTTAGGAATGGTAGTGTGCCTAACATGACTTTTGATATAAGCCTCTTTTTTAATTTTATATGCAGCTATGTACTGGCATTTGCTTTTCACACAAAAATGTTTGCACATTATTGCTGTCGTACAATAGAAAGAAAATAAGAGCTGCATTTAAAGTGTTCTGTAGACTTTTGGAGTGGAGTGGCAGCTAAGTGAGCAAGACAATGAGCCACTTGTAGTTGTGTGTTCTTGTGTGCATGCAAAATCACCATTCACTTCTTGAGCAAATACGATAAACTACTTTAAAGCCAGGATGTGTAAATCAACCAGGTACAATAGCTATATGGCTGGGTTCTAGAGCTAGATCTCTGTAAACTGTCATTTTGTTTAAATTTTCAAAATTCCTAATTCTAAATGGATCTAGATATTATTAAAAGATATCATGAGATCAAGCAATAAAGATCAATAAATATAGGTCTTGGAACATTCAAGAAACATGTAGGGAAATGGCAAGTTGAAGCACTTAATATAAACTATTCTTGCTTTCGCTTTATTAAATTGCTTGTCTTGTGAAAAATTACTTTGACTCGCACAGTTCCAAACTGTTTAAGCAGTTCTCGTATATATTCACATTTTACAAACTACAATTTTCTTTTTGTAAGTAAATGGTCTTTTTTATTTTGATGTTTTCTTAAGACATTTTAACTTTCATGATTTAAGTTGTTGCAATAAAAAAGTATACGAATATTTATTTATACTTAAATGGCTTAATAATTGTCAAACATTGTTCCACTCAACCTTTCAAATACGATTTGAGAACGACAAAATTTAAGCACATGGACAAGCTCACGATTCTGTTTCTAGAGGTGCAAGACATAATTTTTACTCAAGATTGAAAAATCCATCACATTTTGTAAATTTTATGTAGTGACTACCATATCACAAGTTTACAATAATTTGATAAAAAATCTATGATTGCATCTGTATGCAACATTTTAGAATTTTGCAACATCAAACCATTTATTATTGTCAAAATATGAATCTTAACTTTTCAAAATGCTGTTGTTGCAAGAAAATGGTCAACCTAAAATACTATGCAGTATGAAAGGAATCTGACATTTTGCATTAATCACTAACAAAGCAACAGTAAGTATTGTACATACATTGGCACTTTTTTGCATAGCATGAAGCGGAAATTTTAGGGTATACCCAATATGTGACCCTTTAATATTACTAAGATTGAATATGATGATTTGCTTTCTTTAGCCGATCATCACCGGCACGTGAGATCACCCCCACACGGGAGTATCCAAGACCATGGATGTATGGAGCAAGGTACAAAAATATTCATATAGATAAAGCTCTTGTTTGTCATGATATTTATATAGATGGTTATATGGTGTATACATGTGACATTTACATACACTTTTTGCCATAAACAATATTATATTTGCTTTCTTTAAATACGCTAGTTAAAACAGGTGCACAACAAAACATTATTCTTTGTTTTTGCTGAACAACCTAGTAAATTATAAATACAAACATTACCATTAGAACAACACCACCACGAGAGTCCTCACCGGGAGCTGATCGTGAAAGAGACTGGCCACTTGTGCACTTGCGCTTTGCCACATCAACACCAACGCCTTCTGCTGCTGCTACTGCAGCAGGCGGGAGAAAGAGCAGGTTAGCAGCGACACGACAGCTGCCAAACCTCTATGTATCTTTCGTGTTAACCATGCTATTTCACTGGCTAACGATGATTGAGCTAATGCCTCGCCCTGTTCTAAGCACCTTTCGTATCAGACTTCGCAAAACTATCAACTGCATATTCCAGGGTGTAGTATACTTCTATGCAGTGCTTGACACTTCACTACACAGAGTAATAGACAATTCCAACTAACAGTCTTCATGGATCTGATTTTAGTTTCTTCCTATATTCAGAATTATGCTATTTTTACACTTTATTGTGGCTTTTCGTAGTGTTAATAGTTAAATTAAGCATTGTTAATCAAATTATATAAGCCATACGCTTGTACTTGGTTTATATAGCAATACCGTACGGTAGTGGTCAAGTTTTGTTAATATATGGAATAGTTGGATAAACTTAGTTGTTTCCTATTAGAGAAATGGGGTCTCTTATTAGCAACATTAACCATTCTTATAAAGTACCTTCTCATAGTTGATACAAAATTTTAGAAATCATGCACCATTATTATGTGCAATATTCTGTTATTCTTAGTTAATACTTGTATTGTTTTTATTTTTTCTAAATTTCAGCTCTTGCCAGACTGGCGTTTCTGACTAACCGGCAGCTTTTTTATACAATTATTGTCTATATGTAATATGGGAATTTTTTTTGCATAATGTATTCTTGACTGCTGCCTGTGGAAAAAAATGGCATGGGCAGATTTTTAGTTTTATATAAAACAAATCTTACTTTTCATGAAGACGCTAACCATTGCATAGGGTTGTCTAGCACGGAGACATCCACTGCATTTGTACAGGTCCAAGGGATTGGATAATAAGTTCAAAAGGCTTCATTATACTTTGTCTTCAACCAACAGCAAAGCTAGTGTGCGAGAGGAACCTCAAATCAAGAATCCCCAGGCACGTGCATTGTGGGAAAAATGGCAACATGTTGGCTTCATGGCATGGGAACGTATGCGACGTCTCCATGACAAACTCAGCTACCTCCATGAACTTGAGAAGCTAAAGAACTTCTCGTGGGAAGAATGGCGAAAGAGGGTATGGCAAAACAGTAATGATACTTTTAGTTAACTCTTAAAGTGCAGTTCTTGTCATATGTTGATTCAGAATAATGCTATTATCATACGTTAATTTAAACTATTATTGTCTGGGTTTTATAATAAGGATGCTGGTATAGATATCATAGCTCCATTTGGAGGCATAGTGGAATTGATCTTGGCCCATGGAAAAAAATCCTGCTTTTTCATGATTGCTTACTTTGCAAATGTTATAACACACTGTGTGTTATAACACACTGTTATATTATAACAGTGTGTTAATATAAAAGTGTTATAATTACATAAGTATACCAATTATATTCATATGGTTTTCACAACTTTATAATTAAGTATACCAGGTCAATCAATAATTTAAAGTTTGCAAGTGGGAGAGGGCACGACAGATACCTATTGGCCCATGAAGGCAACTCCTATTTATATCCACCCAAATTTATATCTATGGACCAATTCACTCATTCGAGGATATACAGTATATTTTATACTGTATATCCAGTTCTGCTATATCCATATGAAGAGCTGCTTTATATGGGCCATTCTTATTGATACATAAATACATTCATTCATTCATGCATATATTCATTATAAGCCAAAAATACATTATCCTTATATTGTAGTAAATAATGTACTGTGTAAGTAATGTAGATATTTAAATTATTTCAACTTTAATTTGGATGAAAAATGTAAGGTAATCATTCTGTGAGGAATTTGAATATTTTTTGGGAATGGGTAGATATGCATGAATATCCATAGCTGCACTTTAAGAGTAAAAAAAAAAAAAAAATTAATTTTGAAACTTAATTTGTTAAGATCATTCATTTTCTTATTTCAATGTGAATTACATGCTTGAAATACCTTCATTTATGTATTTTCCCTTCCTTTCCCCCATGAAGTTCATGAAGTTCATGAATCACAAGAAATCAAGAGTGACGGACCTTTTCCGTAAGATGGACTCTGATAATGATGGAGCCGTTCCTCGTGATGACTTCATTGATGGCATCCTTAAGACAAGTATGCTGCTCTAATGTCTCTTGTATGATCAATCACTCATATATATATATATATATATATATATATATATATATATATATATATATATATATATATATATATATATATATATATATATATATATATATATATATATATGTCGTACCTAATAGCCAGAACGCACTTCTCAGCCTACTATTCAAGGCCCGATTTGCCTAATAAGCCAAGTTTTCACGAATTAATGTTTTTTCGTCTACCTAACCTACCTAACCTAACCTAGCTTTTTTTGGCTACCTAACCTAGCCTTACCTATAAATATAGGTTAGGTTAGGTTAGGTAGGGTTGGTTAGGTTCGGTCATATATCTACGTTAATTTTAACTCCAATAAAAAAAAATTGACCTCATACATAGAGAAAAGGGTTGCTTTATCATTTCATAAGAAAAAAATTATAGTAAATATATTAATTCAGGAAAACTTGGCTTATTAGGCAAATCGGGCCTTGAATAGTAGGCTGAGAAGCGAGTTCTGGCTACTAGGTACGACATATATATATATATATATATATATATATATATATATATATATATATATATATATATATATATATATATATATATATATATATATATATATACAGAGCACCACTTGGTTTCCGAACCCCTTGGGGACGAGACCCGTCGGTTAACATGTAAGTTCGTATACGAGAAATAGAGGGGAAAAAATAAACTAGAAATGTAAAAAGAAATTTTTCCGAAAAAATTTACGAAAAAACTCTAGGGGAAAAAATCGACAGGTTCATAGCGTAAATGCGACTGTGTTTTGTTTGTACTCACCAATAAGTGAAGTCCTGATCCGCTTTATAAAAGTCCTTAATTGTTCCTAACTGATTATTAAGACGTCTGGCAAACATCCTCTGGATGTTTCCTGCCAGCCTGCAGGCACATCCTGCCTAAAATATACGATGATGTACTGTACATTTAAGAAACAAATCTGGGTCACAGGTCTGTGGAGTGTGGTTAGGCTTACGGAGTCAGCCGGTCCCTCCCCCCACCACCGATACACCTCCCCCTCTCCCCCCACCCCAAACCCATACACACACACACACACTCAAAGGTCACGTGGTTCATGGTTCACTTCAACACCCATATATCGCTTCCTGCCTGCCTGCCTCCTTCCCAGCCTGCAAGCCTGCCTGCCTGCCTGCCTCCTTCCCAGCCTGCAAGCCTGCCTGCCTGCCTGCCTCCTTCCCAGCCTGCAAGCCTGCCTGCCTGCCTGCCTCCTTCCCAGCCTGCAAGCCTGCCTGCCTGCCTGCCTCCTTCCCAGCCTGCAAGCCTGCCTGCCTGCCTGCCTCCTTCCCAGCCTGCAAGCCTGCCTGCCTGCCTGCCTGCCTCCTTCCCAGCCTGCAAGCCTGCCTGCCTCCTTCCCAGCCTGCAAGCTTGCCTGCCTGCCTGCCTCCTTCCCAGCCTGCAAGCCTGCCTGCCTCCTTCCCAGCCTGCAAGCCTGCCTGCCTCCTTCCCAGCCTGCAAGCCTGCCTGCCTGCCTGCCTCCTTCCCAGCCTGCCTGCCTCCTTCCCAGCCTGCAAGCCTGCCTGCCTGCCTGCCTCCTTCCCAGCCTGCAAGCCTGCCTGCCTGCCTGCCTGCCTCCTTCCCAGCCTGCCTGCCTGCCTGCCTCCTTCCCAGCCTGCCTGCCTGCCTGCCTCCTTCCCAGCCTGCAAGCCTGCCTGCCTGCCTGCCTCCTTCCCAGCCTGCAAGCCTGCCTGTCTGCCTGCCTCCTTCCCAGCCTGCAAGCCTGCCTGCCTGCCTGCCTCCTTCCCAGCCTGCAAGCCTGCCTGCCTGCCTGCCTCCTTCCCAGCCTGCCTGCCTGCCTGCCTCCTTCCCAGCCTGCAAGCCTGCCTGCCTGCCTGCCTCCTTCCCAGCCTGCCTGCCTCCTTCCCAGCCTGCAAGCCTGCCTGCCTGCCTGCCTCCTTCCCAGCCTGCAAGCCTGCCTGCCTGCCTGCCTCCTTCCCAGCCTGCAAGCCTGCCTGCCTCCTTCCCAGCTTGCAAGCCTGCCTGCCTGCCTGCCTCCTTCCCAGCCTGCCTGCCTGCCTGCCTCCTTCCCAGCCTGCCTGCCTGCCTGCCTCCTTCCCAGCCTGCCAGCCTGCTTCCTTTCCAGCCAGCCTGCCTCCCTCCCTGCCATCATGCTAACGGGTAGTGTGTGTTAGGCTTATCTTCGGGAATGAGCCGGTCTCGCCCCCACCACCAACAAACCACCCGCCCCCCTACATCCCATCTCTCAAGGTCACGCGGTTCAACCGCGTGACTACCACTCACTCCCTGCTGCGCCTGCCTGCCTGCCTGTGCCTGCCTGCCTGTGCCTGCCAGCCTGCCTTTCCCTCCCTAATTCTCACTACTTCCATCCCTTCCTGCCTACCTCCTAGCATCTCTCCCTACCTCCCCCTCCCTCTTAGCATCTCTCCCTACCTCCTAACATCTCTCCCTACCTCCCCCTCCCTCCTAGCATCTCTCTCTCCCCCTCTCTCACTGATTCTCCCCCCCCCCCTCATTCATACTGCCTCCCACCTAAACTCCATCGTCCATCCACCCACCAGTCAGCCATCACTGATGCAATGCAGTGCATTTGGAGCCAACATGGTGCACAGATGTTTCTTGATTGTGCAGATATGTAAAACAAAAGCACAGAATGAACATTCCAGCCTTATGGCAATTCAAAATAATAGGAATAATAGGCCGTGAATCTGTGAAGTCACAGCGGGCAAACTGGACCATCTCCCACCCACCACAACAAGCCGGCGTGACGCTTGGCGGACCCCTTCCTACCCGAACTTTGTTCGGGTAGCATGACTCCCCAACCCCAATCGGGAAACTGGAAGTTTCGGATAACTAAAGTTCGGAAACCAAGTGGTGCTCTGTATATATATATATAGGGGGGTACCACCACTGGTGTAATTATAGGGACCCACAGCCTCAGAGAAGGGAACACAGAGCACTCAGGGAAAAACTTGACATTTAACTCTGAATACGAAAGAGTGTTCACTTCTCCTACCACCCCCTTTTTTTTTTTATTATGATGTACACTTTATTATGCAAGGTTATACAGTTACATATCTGATTTTATACAAAAAATGAACATTAAGAGGACACAAGAAAAAGTTCGCTTCCTAGAGGCTGTAGATTTCCTCGAACTCCTCCGACGCCGGGCAGGAACCGAGGATGCAGCGGGCATTTCCCCTCTGGATCGCGACACTGAGGCGCTGAAAGAGAAAACTTGCTGCTCTAGGGTCTCTTGTGGTGTCAATGAGCTTGGAACCAAGATCCTTAAGAAACCTTCTTGCACTCTCACCCCATGGGCCTAGGGTCTCAGACCCTATTGGAACGAAATTGTACCTTTGATCTAATTGCCTGTACTTGACTGACTTTTGTTTTTCTCTGTGTGTCGCTGCGGCTCCTGCCGTGCCGGCAGAGAGGGTGATGTATGTCGTTGCCAGGGTGGATACGCAAGTATAGTCCCATGCTAACTGCCTGCCACCCTTCCACGGACGCAGTGTGATTCCGTCTGGTCGGCCGGCAAAGCTAACAGAGTCACGGTTCAGTAGGTTGCGGGGCTCTCTCTCCGCTGGACACTGAGCAGAGGCAAGGCTTCTTTTAATGATGTCGTTGACTTCGTCGTGTCTAGTGTGCCAACCACCCGATTTTCCACAGTGCAGGCCATGCAATCCATATTCGTCAGCATCTGCCTCGCTGCAAATACACCTGTGAACAGTGTGGATAGGGGCAGCAAGGCGGAGAGCGACTGCAATACGGAGCTCCTGCGGATCAAGACGTGTGCCTGTCGCAGACATAGGGACTGCCAGAAGGAAGTCCCCTGCATGGGGAGCCTGCACAGCTGTGAGGCGTGCACGATCACTGGGGGTTGTTGCTGCCTCCAGCAAAGCTGTGGCTTCTTTGTCTACAATGGGGCTGTCCCAACTGGATTGTTTCTTGGCTTTCGGCATGGCTGGTCTGAGTGCTGGGTCTGTCATGGCACCCCATTTCGTGTCACATTCCGTGTAGTGGGGGTCCTGTATCCCCGCTACATCACTCAGGGTGTCAGGTAGAATTTCCTTAACCAGGTCATCTGATGCTGAGGAGGAAGACAGGAAGGCTGGGACTGCAATTTGGGTGGCGGTGCGGACACCCAAGCCACCGAGCCTGACAGGAAGAGTGGCTTGTTTCCACTGGCATTCGTTGAGAGAGAGGTTAACAACTTTTTCCAGCATGGTCTTCAGTAGGTGGTCATACTCGTCAAGCTTTGGGTTGTTGTAAGATGGGGCGCACCTCAGAAAGTAGGTTAGCCTCGGAAGGGATAGGCATTTGGTGAGGAGATAAAAAGCATCGTGGGCATCGATGTCACCTATTCTGTCTTCCATCCTCCTAAGGTCTGCGATTTATATATATATATATATATATATATATATATATATATATATATATATATATATATATATATATATATATATATATATATATATATATATATATATATATATATATATATATATATATATATATATATATATATATATATTATATATATATATTATATATATATATATATATATATATTATATATATATATTATATATATATTTATTATATATATATATATTATTATATATATATTATTATATATATATATATATATATATATATATATATATATATATATATATATATATATATATTATATATATTATATATATATATTATATATGCAACAATGATCACAAAAAGTGATCTATGATCAAAGTGATCAAAAAGTGATTAAAAGTGATCAAAAGTGATTTGATTCTACTTTGCTCTGATGAAGGCGAATTAGCCGAAAACGCGTTAAGCATTTTCTATTTTTCATATGTGGTTATTCTGCATATATTATATATATATATTATATATATTATATATATATATATATATATATATATATATATATATATATATATATATATATATATATATATATATATATATATATATATATATATATATATATATATATATATATATATATATATTATATATATATATATATATATATATATATATATATATATATATATATATATATATATATATATATATATATATATATATATATATATATATATATATATATATATATATATATATATATATATATATATATATATATATATATATATATATATATATATATATATATATATATATATATATATATTATATATATATATATATATATATATATATATATATATATATATATATATATATATATATATATATATATATATATATATATATATATATATATATATATATATATATATATATATATATATATATATATATATATATATATATATATATATATATATATATATATATATATATATATATATATATATATATATATATATATATATATATATATATATATATATATATATATATATATATATATATAATATGAGATAATTTGCAATTTAATTGTTGCCTATTTATAATGAGCTCTTCAGTAATTTAACGGAACTTATAATAGGAAATAAAGCATATTTTTAGTCATAGTAGATGGTCTTAAATTTTATCAGCCATGAGAGAAGTGATTACTAATCTGGAAATAGTAAACAAATTCTTCATTCAGAAAATATTACCTAATATTTACATTGGGGGGGGGGGTTGACAATATTTGCCAACATGTAATTTTACTTAGAGCAACACATGGACAAGCTTTCTGCCAAGTGCTGTTTAAGTATAAGCAGGAACTCCAATAACAGATTTTCAGCATGTGTGCTAAAAAAATGCAATAATAAAATAAAATGAACAAAGTTCAGAAATAGAACCAATTCATCTCATTTAATGTAAGTGTACTATATATTAACTTACACTTGCAGAATTCCCAACCAGCCGCTTGGAAATGGGCACGGTAGCAGATATATTTGATCGCAACCAAGATGGGTATATTGATTACCAAGAATTTATAGCAGCTCTTCGGCCAGACTGGGAGCGTAAGGGTCCCTTGACTGATGCTGAAAGAATTGATGACGAAGTTCAGAAGCAAGTTTCCAAATGCACTTGTCGTCAGAAGTTCAGAGTTCACCAAGTAGGGGAGGGCAAATACAGGGTGTGTATTATTTGAGTTAAAAGGTTTTTAAGAAATTCTCATCACTGTATAAATTTGTCTGTTGCTTCTGTATTAATCCAACTTAAAAAAAAATGTAGTACAGAATAGAATCTTGTGAAAGATAGTTTTAAGAAGTATATCTACATCATCCTAGTCAAAAGCTGTAAAAAATAATCAAGTGTCTGATTTAATTCTCCAGCTTCTTGTATAGCACAGTATACATTTTGTGTGTTACTGCATTTTATGATTGTAATCAACAAACTGCCTTCACTAATATGATCATCACTTCCTACAATCTTTTAATTTTTTCTAAACATTTAAATTCTCCAACTAACGTCATTTCGAATATTCCCATCATTGAGAAAGTTTTTGCTGTTCTTTAAAATGTTTTAACCATTGTACTTTAATTGAAGATTTCTTTATTAATTCAATTTTATAATTATGGTAGTTTGGAGACAGTCAGAAACTTCGCCTGGTCCGTATCTTGCGATCAACAGTTATGGTTCGTGTTGGAGGTGGATGGGTGGCACTAGATGAATTCCTTGTCAAAAATGACCCATGCAGAGGTATGTTCCAGATGTTTGTTGTGCCTACTGTTTATGGTGGCTACTTTTATGCTATTCTGCTGCCTTATAGAATATTCATTAATAACTTCCCTTGAAAAGTGCTTAGTGAGAGTTCAATGATAAATATTGTAAAAATACCATAATATTTTGAAGTCAATGACGAGCATAAAGTTTCACCTATGAGATCGATATAGTGAGGATGATAATGCATTAAACAATAATGAGTTTTGAATTTTGCCCCAAGTTAAATATATTCCTGTAAGTAGAAGTTCATGAAGTTTAATCTTTGACAATTGGTCTTGATATTTATAGGCATGTTCCTTGTTCTGTTATTTGATTACATGTTCAGTGGTTTATATCTGCAGGGTTGTTTTTGTTTTGATTAATAATTTTTACAGAAAATTTGTTGCTAATGTCTGAAGCACACTAAAGTGATTAATATCTTCATTTGAATACATGTATAAAAGCAGTTTGATCTTTGTGCAGATGATTAATGATTTATTTAATGATCTACTCACATATGATTGTTAGTTTTGTTATCAATTTATAGCCGAATCCTTAGAATGAATTATCTTGGGCTGTGATGGCTAACAGTTGATGGAATTTTAATTTTAGAAGCTATTTTAAGCGAAGTTTAAACCACCAGGCAAATATCTTTAAAAAAGATGTGCCGTTTTTAGGTTGCGTTTTGCACAATTACAGCTCAAAAATACATTATCATGGACTGCACTCACTCTAGATTTGTCTAAACTTACTAGAGAAAGCTTTCAAGTTAGGTGTGTCGATAACCTAAGCCAGCAATTCACATAATCTGCCTGTAGCCACAGCCAAGCTTGTGTGTAGCTTAATACCTTACATTAGCCTTACTAGAACTAGGTATCAATAAAATCTTGCAAGCTAACACAGAAGACTTCATACAAATATCCTTATTAGAAGAGCTGAACTATAAATTCTTTTTCACTGTTTGGGGGGAAAAAAATAAGACCAAATGTGAATTGGAATTTGTCACCTTCTGATAAGAAGCATTGGCATGTATTGATATGGTGCTGAAATATATAAATAACTGTAATATTGAATAACTGAATGTTAATAACCCGTTTTAACTGGGTATGCAAGTTCAATAGTTTACCTAAAAAGAATTTACAAGTAACTACAATATTTTGCATCAAAGCATTAACCAATTAACTTTTTTCTTTCTTTCTCTCCTCTCTATTTTCCTAACTCCTTCAAACCCTATAACCAAAATAACCTAATCCCAACCTTAAAACCCATCCCAATTGTGCATGCTTTTTTGCCGGGTAATATTTAATTAATGGTCCATAACTATGCTTGCACGAAAATATTCACTGTCCACTGGAAACCTTTGGGCGACACTGGTTATTGTCTAATATATTGATGGTTTTATACATAATACATCACCCAACTTTTCCCCTCTTGCTCTTTCTTTGCTGGCTCTCCCCCTTTTTTCTCCCTGCACTGCTTCATAACTATAGTATGTCCATCCATACCTGAATTAGAGCAGGTTGGAGAATTGGAACTTCATGAGCATGGTTGTCCCTTAAGGGGGAAGACGTCACCAGCTGGGTCCTGCCGTAGCTCCTGTAAGAATTTTTATGCAAAGTTTTGCACAGTAATGATCAGTAAGAATATTATAATGCTCTCATTTGGAATTTGTCATCTTGATTAATGTGGGTCATTTTCTAAAATTGTATGATGTAGTGTGTGTTTAGAATTGAAGATGGAGCACCGTTTTTAGAGATAAAATTTGAGTCGTTTCCAGTAGAGTACATATAGTAAATTTATATATATATATAGATATAGATATATATGTATATATATATATCTATATATCTATATATCTATCTATATATATCTGAAAGATCATCTGTAAATTAATATATACAGTACTAACTTTTTTAATTCCAATGTGAAATTTAGTTTTACAAGACATTTTGTTTATTTTGATTAGATTAGGTAATGATCCCTTTTTTCTGGGTAAGATCACAATTAATGATATCCTTGATTTTAATGAATTCTATGGGTTCTTAATATTAATTGATTTGATGATAACTATAGCTTCTTTATCTTAGAATTGTATTTTGAGAAGCTGCTTAAAATTAGCATTTTTAAGTGAAAAGTTGATTTTTGGGTACACAGAAAAGTACATCTCGCCTGCACTGTGTTGTGAACATAAATTTTTTTATACTATTTTATATATAGTTACTTAAGATCTACTTTGTTGATACCACTTGCATGATTGGAGGTAGTGTTGGCATTTTTCTTGTCTCAATGTCAAGTGGATGTAGATTTAATATTATTTAGCAAACTCATTACAGGACTCTTTGCATTCTAGATAATTGGTACTCTTAAGGTTTAAAGGATATCAAGTGTTTGAACAGTTGATAAAGATGAAAATCACCTTCATTTGTTCACCGATTTTTAGGCAAATTTCAGATAGTTAAATATTTAAAGATTAAGGGTGCAAAAATGCTTCTTCTGTAGACCACTGCTTTTTATTCATGGGTCCTTTGCAAGAGGGTTTGTGTGCTAATGGTGCTTTGTTTACATAACTTGTGCATGTGGGCTTTATACTCTGGAAAGCTTTCTTCATATATTACATTTGTTACCTTTGGCACCCACTGTTAATCTGCTTTTTAATTATAAATTTTATGTTGTGTTATTACCAGTGTGTCTGTAATGAACATAATAGGCAGTTAGGGTAATGTATACACAATTTGCTCGAAGGTATAGAAGAAAATGTTTAAATTTTAGACAATTTACTATAAAATATTACTGTTTAATCAGTGAAGGCCTGAGACTCTTACTTCATCATACCTAAAATAGAACATATTTGGAAATGTAATTAGTTTGAGTACTTAAGTCTTTATCAGAACAATCTAAATAAGAGTGGTAATATTAGCATAATACCGTGATGTACGGAGGCTAGTTAACATAGTACATGACACCATTGTCTCTTCAACCTCAGTGAAGTTTTGTTAGCACTCTTGTGGTGTAAATCCTTTCATTTCTTTAGCATGCTTGGGTCTCAGTTTTCAGGCATGTAAATGTCTTTGCAGTACTGTAATATAGCTTTCATTTACAAATGAGTTATCATTGTAGTTGGATGCTAGTAGCATTTTAGTTTATTTGTTATTGGAGTGTCATTAGCTAACATGTTTGCCTTATTTCTTTTTCTCCTATTTATCCTGCCCATCCTCTAATTCCCTTCCCATCCTGAACTCCCCTTCCTAAATACATTTTTCTCTGCATCCCAAATATTTTACCTTGTGTCCTTCCCAACCCATTTACCCACTACCCATCCAACCTCACCTATGCCACGCCACTCTGCGTTCTGCATCGACCCGATCTTGGCTGTATCATCCTGTCCTCATGTTTGGGTCATCCCTTACTTGGGCTATGAACTAAACCTACCCAAATAGCCAAGGGTCGTACCAATGTGGAGTTACGTGAGCAGTTCATCCTAGCGGAGGGCGTTTCTCAGAGCATGACACCATTCAAGTCCAAGCCTAGCCCCAACAGTTCTGTGTCGAGCCAGTCCGGTACTCCTGCCCAGCATCGATCCCAGTCCCTGCCCAACTCTGGGCCAATTATAAAGGTCTGTTTTGGTTGCAGCCTTTCCCTCAAGTGGCCACAGTTCATTTAAAAATAAAATTATATAAAATTTAAGGTAATATGCAAGTAGTAAGAGGGAAGGTAAAGTTTGGTACACTGAAATGTTCTTTCAGGGAGTGGATGAGTGAGCAAATCCATCTTCACACTCCAGATTTGGATATAACCATCCAGATTACTGCCTAACCACCTTTGACCATTAGGCTTAATTATCAATATCATTTCATTTAATACATTATTAAGCTAGAAGAAGCATAAATTAGTTTTCCAAGAAAATAATTAGTATTAAAACAAAATATTTCATAAATGGCAGTATTGCTGATAATTTTAATGGAGATATATGTAGAACCAAATTTCTTGGAACACTGAAAAGTTCTTGGACACTGAGACGTAAAGGTGTCAAACTCGGGGCTGGCTGTAAAGCTTCTTATTATATTTGTACATTTGTGCATGCCTTTTAGCATGGTTTATTTGTCAAATAAGAAGCTTTCTAAATGCCCTGCTTCTTATCCCAGGTATGTAAACTTTTTTTTTGCTAGTGTAGTTCGTGAAAGGCAAACCACAGTGAATTATTTTTGTTTGCTGCTGCTTTTTTGTTTATCATTTAATTAATAAAAGATGCTTTCCTTTATTTTTTCCAGGAGCCACTTTATTTTTTTTGTAGCATTTTAGAGCAGGCATTATAAAGTATGGTAGAATTATTAAAGTAGTTGGTTGTTACAGCAAGAAGTATCCTGAACCTGCAGCCTGGGAGTGCTAATGATTTGGTAATGGGGTTGAAGCTCGTTACCTTAACTGTAACAAATATTTTCCTTGAATGGGTCACCAGTCTTGAATTGGCATATATATATATATATATATATATATATATATATATATATATATATATATATATATATATATATATATATATATATATATATATATATAATAATAATTATGGTCGTGTTAACTATTATAATCTACTCCATTTCCACAATAGTAAGGTGGGGAATAAGAAGACTGGTAGAAATTGAGAGAAAAAGGAAAAATAATACTCAAAGATAACCCATTCATTTGCTGTATCTTCCATGTTACATACTCCAACATCTACAACAGCATCCCATTGTTTCTTACTAGTGTAGTGCTTCCTCTCAATTACTTAAAGCTTGAAAATCAATATCTTCAACTGCTTCCATTTAGCATTATTTTCCTACCAGTTCTCGTGCTGTTCGCACCTCATCCCCACTTTCTCTCACCTTGTATGTCCATCTCCTTTGTGGCTTTCCTCCTCTCCTTTTACCCTCACCCGAGTAATTCCTATGCCTTAAATAAATGTTCATTTGTAATACAATACGGTCAGCACTCGGTGTTAGGGTTAGTGCTGTAGGGTTATGATAACCAAAAAGGTTGTGATTTGGTCATCATATTATCAGCCATGTTATTGTGACTCGTCGTCTGCATCTCGTATGTTAACCGCAAGTGGTTTGGCATTCATCTCGGAGGCATGTTTGAGAAATATATAGCGAGATTCACAGCTGTCAGTGAGCACAAAAAAGCAGTGATAGATTGATTGAAGTTACTTTATTTATGGCCAAAAAACTGAAAATAAGGAAAGGACAAAAATTTGTTTCAATTGGAAAACAAAGCTTTCAAAAAATTAAGTGCATTTGGGAGATGGACACTTGAATGTTAGAAAAACATTAGAGAATGAAATATTTAAACTTGTAGGATGAGGGTATACTTAAATGATTTAGGTATGCTGAATGGCTGTGAAAACAGATGGAGAGAGAGTACACTTGAATTTAGGCTGAAGAGGGGTAGATTGGGCAGATGTACATGGTGGGTGTGGGTGGGTAGGTGTGTGTGTGGACATTGCACAATACATGGCAAGGTACAAGGCTGGATGGAAGTGGCAAGTGCTGCTTTCGATGTCTGCTAGTGTGGTGGCATATTGGGGATGTTTATTGATCAGTGATGCTTGCTTACCTATGATACGATATAGTATACGATATATACTACCAAACTGATTAGTAATTTTGGCTGGCCATAAAATTGAAATACCAGTTAATGTACAATACAATATTGTAATTGTAGAAGCAGCTGTGTAATGCTGAAAATGGGCGAGTTTCAAGCATCACTAGAAACTGCTAAATTTTTAAACTTTTTCCAGTATTTTTGTTAAAGGTTTTTGTGTTGTATATATTTTTTTTTGCAGATTGTATGTTGTACGAGTAAATACCAAAAGGAAATGGGTGGGGGTGGGGGGGAGAGGATGTTTCCACCACTTCAGGCCTCCAACAATTCCCTACTGATGAAATTTAGCAAGACATTTTATAAACATTTAAATTTATAAAGTGTTACTTTTCTATCTATCTTTTACACCATTTAAGGGGAGATTGCCTATATTGGTTTATTTGGCCATATATATGTCAGTGACCGGCTAGGCTGTGCCAACATTAAAACGCTTCCTCCTACTCCTTACCTTTAGTATTATGATGATCATATGTGAAAATTAATACATTACTTATAATTTTCATGCTAATAAGCATTTTATTTCCCATCTCCCATGTTATTGAGGATGGGGTCTCATGCAGTATAACAAAGGTGTGGAGTAAACACTCGCATGAGCCAGTGGCTGTGGCAGGAAGGAGCAGTTTACCTCCAGGTTAATAAACCTGCTAACACACACACTAAAGATGCAAGTTTGCATTTATTCATAATTTGGTTAGCTTTAGGGTAGAATAGAAAAAAATATGGAATGATAAGTCCATGAATCTCATTTTGGCAATATTCATGGATCAGCAGGTAAAGCACATGGGTAGGTGAAAGGGGGATGTTCCCTCAATATTCAATTTTGTATATGCTAGAAAATAGGAAGACATTTTTTAGTGAGACCAACCAAATTACATTCGATTTAATCCTCTAACATCCAGCATGGGATTTACACGCATATTTGCCTATGCGCACAAAAAAAAAATCTTTGTAAGATTAATGTTGATGCAAAATGTATGGAAAAGTGGAAATAAACTGAATATCTACGTTGTAGTTGATTTGGTGAACTGAACAAGTTGATCTTGTGGTAGCCTGGACCCATCTGTAAATGCAAGAGCTCACTGTCGGCAAAAGAAACTGAGCCAGATACTCAATTTTGACCGTGTATGTTTAGATGAGCATCTGTATGTATATCAATCCATGCTTGTATCAACGAATTGAAGAATGTCTGTAGCAATGAATCACTGTTTGTATCAATGAAGTGAATGTTTGTATCAGTGAATCAGTGTTTGTATCAACGAATGAATATTTGTATCAGTGTGAATAAAGAAACTACAAAAGGCCTGTGGGGCCCAAATCTGAGTTTGGGAGGATATTCATGTCTGGGTAAACATCACTACATCTATATAGATAGATCTTTTATATCTGTATTAGCATCATTGGTGCAAATCCTGGACAATAATAGTCGGCATATGATAACTACATTATGCTGCTAGTCAACATATGATAACTGCACTTTGAGGGTTAAAAATTATACAAAAAGACTAGAATTTGGTCAGGGAGAGAGATTTGAAATTGAAATAAGTTTATTGATGCATAAATACACTCAAAGGGATGAGGTAGCTCAAGTTACTCGCCCCATTCAGTACATCGTGTTCAAATATACACAAATTACAAACAATCGATATATTATCGAATATTCTGGCTGATAAATATATACATCTTTCTTTATCCATGCAGTATAACAACAGATGTACACACGTACAAACTTTTATGATAGGTACATAGACACAAGTTGCAATTGACATTCAGACAATTCAACAAAACGTTGCAATCTTCTCATCTTTCCAGAATGTCGTCAATCTTTGTTGACACATCCAGGCTTTTTGTCCAGAGACAGTCTTTATCTCTATTTTTTACCGTATTGCCCCTCCCTTCCCCTTCGATCATTCCCTGCCCTCTTTATCCCTCCCTCCCTCCCCTCTCTCTATGTATCTGTGTCGCTCTGTATCTGTCTTGCACTGTTTGTCTCCCCATTCCCCAGATGTTGGCTTGTTTATTGGGTTAATCCATCATCATGATGATCACACATTCATTTGGAGATTAAAAGTTATACACTTATATAAATCCCTGTGCGTAATTTCTTACTGATCATTTATTTACTGATGCTGTTCTTGGACACTGCAAAAATCTGTAAGAATTTCCATTTGAAATATTAGCATAATTACCCTTATAAACCATGTTTAAAGCTATTGAAAAAATTATTCATTACAGCTCATTTTGTTATGGCTGAATTGATGCCCCTCTTTGAACAAATCCGCCAAAGTGAGTGTGAGGGGTCACACGGTGCCACTCTATGCACAATTCGTGTGGGACATTCTGTTGGCGCAGTATTCCACAGATCAGACTCCTCCACAAGCTCATCAATGGTAGGAGGCCAGCAGGCAGATGCGTGTGAAAATGTAGGCTGTGTTAGTTTGGATAAATGTTCGTGTTGATGTAGGCTGTGCTAGTTGGATTCAAAATGCTCGTGTTTTTATAGCCTTGTTTGGATTATATTGTTAAATGTATGATTTCTTTTTTAGCTTGAACTTAAGTGCATTGTCACAATATTTGCAGATGCTAGAATATTACAGTTTTACTTGTAAATGCCATTGTGGTCTTGATATTCATTTCCATAATTTTAAAAATGAAGTACAGTACCATATTTGTATGGGTATGTTGTATCTGAAAATACCACTTTCCAAAAAAGTAAAGTGTGCATTGTAACCCTGCATCTTTTAACATAGTTTTCAGTATACTAACAAGAACAGGAATGTGGTGATCTCGTTTAATTGCAATAAACTCGAGCAATCTTCACCCATTCCCTGTAGTTAATCGTCCATTAGAAACTTGAGCTTGAAACTGTAACATGGCCTTAAGTTTTCAGCATGGCTATGATTATTTGAAAACTAAATATGGTCCTTGTTGAAATGTTGAGTTTACCATCAGAAATGGGCGAACATTTTTTCCTTTTTGTACTGTTTGCTGTCATTCAGTAGGAATGTTATGACTTTTTATGCTTTTCACTATTCTGGTGTTTAAAGTTATTTGCATATTTAGAAATGGAGATTGTTCATGTGGTTTGTCTTATCACACAAGCTCCTATTCCGGGATCCGACTCTCTGTATTCCCAAATGATGGTGGCATATCAGCAAATGGTAAGTCCTTCCTTGTACTGAATGGAGATAAGTCGGAATTCCAAAGAGTTTTGTCCCAAATATTTTGTTCATTATATATGATTGTATTTTTTATCCATACGTTTTTATCACTATAGAAAAGTACACATGAACCTTACTCTTTCACTTCAATGAAAATAATGCTCTTGTTGTGAATGCTTTAAACAGTAGGCTACTGTAGATTGATTATTCTTGAAAATGCAAAATGTTTTGCATACAATTGTATTAATTGCCAATTATTATTGAACCAGTCATTGACAATTTATAAAATAGACTTTATTAGTTTTATTTTTTTACTAAGTTTTCTGACTAAATTTTCTTTTAATAGCTCTTGTGCACACTTGTAATTTTGTTCTCCAATTCTTCTTGCCTACTTGCTTTGGTTTCTGCTCCTCTTGCTGCTCCTCCTACTTGTTCTGGCTCCTCTTGCTCTTCCTCCTAATTACTCTGGCTCCTCTTGCTCCTCCTCCTCTCACTGGCTCCTCTGGGTCCTCCTCCTCCTTGCTCTGGCTCCTCTTGGTCCTCCTCCTCCTTGCTCTGGCTTCTCTTGGTCCTCCTCTTCCTTGCACTGGCTCCTCCTCCTTCTTGCTCTGGCTTCTCTTGGTCCTCCTCCTCCTTGCTCTGGCTTCTCTTGGTCCTCCTCTTCCTTGCACTGGCTTCTCTTGGTCCTCCTCTTCCTTGCACTGGCTCCTCCTCCTTCTTGCTCTGGCTTCTCTTGGTCCTCCTCCTTCTTGCTCTGGCTTCTCTTGGTCCTCCTCCTCCTTGCTCTGGCTCCTCTTGGTCCTCCTCCTCCTCCTCCTTGCTCTGGCTCCTCCTCTTGGTCCTCCTCCTCCTCCTTGCACTGGCTCCTCTTGGTCCTCCTCCTTGCTCTGGCTCCTCTTGGTGGTCCTCCTCCGACTTGCACTGGCTCCTCTGGATCCTTCATGCACTGGCCCCTCTTGGTCCTCCTCCTCCTCCTCCTTGCTCTGGGTCCTCCTCCTCCTTGCTCTGGGTCCTCCTCCTCCTTGCTCTGGGTCCTCCTCCTCCTTGCTCTGGGTCCTCCTCCTCCTTGCTCAGGGTCCTCCTCCTCCTTGCTCAGGGTCCTCCTCCTCCTTGCTCTGGGTCCTCCTCCTCCTTGCTCTGGGTCCTCCTCCTCCTTGCTCTGGGTCCTCCTCCTCCTTGCTCTGGGTCCTCCTCCTCCTTGCTCTGGGTCCCTCCTCCTCCTTGCTCTGGGTCCTCCTCCTCCTTGCTCTGGGTCCTCCTCCTCCTTGCTCTGGGTCCTCCTCCTCCTTGCTCTGGGTCCTCCTCCTCCTTGCTCTGGGTCCTCCTCCTCCTTGCTCTGGGTCCTCCTCCTCCTTGCTCTGGGTCCTCCTCCTCCTTGCTCTGGGTCCTCCTCCTCCTTGCTCTGGGTCCTCCTCCTCCTTGCTCTGGGTCCTCCTCCTCCTTGCTCTGGGTCGTCCTCCTCCTTGCTCTGGGTCCTCCTCCTCCTTGCTCTGGGTCCTCCTCCTCCTTGCTCTGGGTCCTCCTCCTCCTTGCTCTGGGTCGTCCTCCTCCTTGCTCTGGGTCGTCCTCCTCCTTGCTCTGGGTCGTCGTCCTCCTTGCTCTGGGTCGTCGTCCTCCTTGCTCTGGGTCGTCCTCCTCCTTGCTCTGGGTCGTCGTCCTCCTTGCTCTGGGTCGTCGTCCTCCTTGCTCTGGGTCGTCGTCCTCCTTGCTCTGGGTCGTCGTCCTCCTTGCTCTGGGTCGTCCTCCTCCTTGCTCTGGGTCGTCCTCCTCCTTGCTCTGGGTCCTCCTCCTCCTTGCTCTGGGTCCTCCTCCTCCTTGCTCTGGGTCCTCCTCCTCCTTGCTCTGGGTCCTCCTCCTCCTTGCTCTGGGTCCTCCTCCTCCTTGCTCTGGGTCCTCCTCCTCCTTGCTCTGGGTCCTCCTCCTCCTTGCTCTGGGTCCTCCTCCTCCTTGCTCTGGGTCCTCCTCCTCCTTGCTCTGGGTCCTCCTCCTCCTTGCTCTGGGTCCTCCTCCTCCTTGCTCTGGGTCCTCCTCCTCCTTGCTCTGGGTCCTCCTCCTCCTTGCTCTGGGTCCTCCTCCTCCTTGCTCTGGGTCCTCTGGGTCCTCCTCCTCCTTGCTCTGGGTCCTCTGGGTCCTCCTCCTCCTTGCTCTGGGTCCTCTGGGTCCTCCTCCTCCTTGCTCTGGGTCCTCTGGGTCCTCCTCCTCCTTGCTCTGGCTCCTCTGGGTCCTCCTCCTCCTTGCTCTGGCTCCTCTGGGTCCTCCTCCTCCTTGCTCTGGCTCCTCTGGGTCCTCCTCCTCCTTGCTCTGGCTCCTCTGGGTCCTCCTCCTCCTTGCTCTGGCTCCTCTGGGTCCTCCTCCTCCTTGCTCTGGCTCCTCTTGCTTCCATCAACCATTGCTCTTATTCTCCACCAACAGGCTATTGTGAAACTGAAAATAAATAGTGAGGTTCTTCTGTACATTATGATTATACAGTAATTTTTTAAACATTTAGTTTTAATGATAGTCTTGCATTTTAGCTTATTTTTTATTTATATCTTTGAATGTACAGTAGTTAAAGTATTTTTCACTTGTAAGTTAACTTGTATAAATATATTCTACTTTTTATAATGTAATGTTTCTTTAGAATGTAACATTATCAGTTGGTTAATATCAAATTGTTTAAAGGTTCGGGAAAGAACAGCAAAGAGCTCGGCAATGGGGCGAACTTCCTTCAGTGCTGGCACCCCAGATTCTTCATTCAGTGAAGAAGGAGGGTCATCATCATTCCATCTCCATGGAGGCAAACGCAAGGCCTCGGCACCAGTTACATCCCGCTCCTCTTACAATACTTCAGGTATAACTTGAATAATGTTTTTATTAATTACTCTTGAACATTAAGATCTCATATATATAATACTTCTCCAAGTTTTATAATTTATCTTTTTATCAAAGTGAATATGATCTGTTAGGTGACAGTCAACCAGGAAGCCGGTCAGGGAGCCGTCCACCATCACGAGGTCCTGGATCACATCCAGGATCACGTCCTCCAAGCCGTGCAGGCTCTGAAGTATCCCTCGACTCGTGTGATGGGGGACGAACTCCTATGAAACGCACACCTTCATTTACAGGACGCACACGTGCACCATCTAGTCAGACTTCTGGGGTTCAGCGGTCATCGTCTCTTAGAAAGGTGAGAATGCGAAAGGAAGATTTTCTTTTGGAGATTGAAAAAATCATTCAAATAGTAAAGAGAATTAACTTGTATCCATGAATTGTATGTGTGATTATTTGGGCAAAATAATCCACATAGAATTACAAGGGATCCCCATAAGGTAAAGTACTCTGGTATCCATAGATTAAATATGGTACTGATACTGTGAAGTACTAAATAATAATTATCTGGGTATTAACAGTGGTAAAACATCTTTCTTCTGAATAGTTTGTCCATGAAAGATTTAAGACTGAATTTCTGGCTTTTTGTTACTTGTCACAATTTTTAATGTCAATAATGGAGATAACGGTAAAACCATGATTGATCAGTTATGTACACCAAAATACCTAAAATATACTGGAATGTCCGATAAATCAGCAACAGTGTTCCATACATTTGGAACCATAAAAGGAAGTCTTATATTTTGTGTTCATTTATTTTTCATTATATGTTCGAAATGCATTTAATGATCCACTTTTATGATTCAGTACTCAGAAGTAAATATGGTATCCAGTCATCAATCGCATGACTAATAGTGTCAGAAGTGATGGTGTTCGTCTTAAGGGGGGGAAAACTGAATAATTTGTATACAAATTGCATTAGCTCTTTTTTTAACATGCTTAAATTTTTTTATGGACATTGTGCATAGTTTTCAATACTTGAAACACTTTTCTTTTGCATGAAACAAATCATTATCGTTGCTTAGATTTGATTAAATATAACATGTATGATATTAATATTTACTTCAAAAACCTTCTTAATGATACGTACAGGGAAAAGTAACTAGATTATGATAAATATTACAAATTTAGGTATTTGAATACTGTCAAACCTATTAATGAATTAAGTACAGTTTAATAAAATGACTAGATGCTTGGCAGATATTACGAACAATAACAAAGTACTATACTTTATTTTATTGTAAATAAGTAGTTAACCTTAAATTATGCATGAGTGTCTTTCTTTTGGTTATTAAATATGATAGTTCCTTCCCAATAGTCTATATATGTGGCAATACTTGCAGTGTGACACCCAATGCTGTTCCTATTATTTTACACCCTTCCCTCCCCCCTCCACCCCTTCTCGCTCTCTCACCCGCTCTTTCTCAGGCTGTCCGTCTCTCTCTCTCACCCGCTCTTTCTCAGGCTGTCCATCTCTCTCTCTCTCACTCTCTCGCGCGCTCTCTCGCACACCCTCTCGCTCTCTCTCTCTCTCTCGTGCTCTCTCGCGCTCTTTTGTGCTCTCACACGCTCTCTTGCGCTCTCTTGCTCTTGCTCTCTTTCTTGCTCTTTCTCGCTCTTTTGTGCTCTCACACGCTCTCTTGCGCTCTCTTGCTCTTGCTCTCTTTCTTGCTCTCTTTCTCGCTCTTACTCTTTTGCTCTTTCTTGCTCTCTTGCTCTCCTTCTCCCACCCCCCTTCTCCCACCCCCCTTCTCCCACCCCCCTTCTCCCACCCCCCTTCTCCCACCCCCCTTCTCCCACCCCCCTTCTCCCACCCCCCTTCTCCCACCCCCCTTCTCCCACCCCCCTTCTCCCACCCCCCTTCTCCCACCCCCCTTCTCCCACCCCCCTTCTCCCACCCCCCTTCTCCCACCCCCCTTCTCCCACCCTTCTTCTCCCACCCCCCTTCTCCCACCCCCCTTCTCCCACCCCCCTTCTCCCACCCCCCTTCTCCCACCCCCCTTCTCCCACCCCCCTTCTCCCACCCCCCTTCTCCCCCCCTTCTCCCCCCCCCCTTCTCCCCCCCCTTCTCCCCCCCCCTTCTCCCCCCCCCTTCCCCCCCCCCCTTCTCTCCCCCCTTCTCTCTCCCCCCCCCCTTCTCTCCCCCCCCCCTTCTCTCCCCCCCCTTCTCTCCCCCCTTCTCCCCCCCTTCTCCCCCCCCCCCCTTTCCCCCCTTCTCTCCCCCCCTTCTCTCTTTCTCTCCCTCTCTCAAAAATGAGTGACAGTTGAAAGGTGGGCCGAAAGAGCCAGAGCTCAACCCCCGCGAGCGCAATTAGGTGAATACATATACATATGCATGCATGCTGAGGCAATCTTCATTCCTTCAGCACTTTTACCTTGTCAGTGCAAGTAAATGGTAGCTGCTTCACTATATAACTAGATAAAAATTCTCCCAAAATAATTCAAGTAGCATTTGAAATACAGTATCTGGGAAAGCTTGTTTTGAAGACCAAGTTTTTAAATAACGGCTGGTCCTAAATAGAACAAAGCCACATTAGTTTCCAGCCTAATCCCCAGAAGCTGGGCTCGTTTACTGCATTAAGTATTACTTACATTTTCATATATTTTCTGTAATATTATCTTAGTAATATAGGTTCTATCAGGATCAATTTCCCTCATTAATTAATAATTTTTTTCAGTGAGTTTCATTGTTTGTGTTCAACAAAGTACTTTGACATTCTTATTTATTAATAGCATATGTTAACATATTGACACATCTTTGGTTAATATACTTTTTTCATGATGACCTTATTTGTCTAAAACTTCATTGAACTTACATTTCTTCTTAAAGTGTAATTAAAATTATTTTAGTATAACATTTTTTATGCATTTATCAACTCTGAACAATATTAAAGCTAAACATTTCAACTTTTATTTTATAATATCTGAACTAGACTGTTTACTTGTTAACACCATCTTGGTACCTTAAAATATTGGGATTATGGCTTAAACTTACTGGTGGGCCCCTCCCTCCCTCCAGGCCTCGGCCCCTGTCAAGTCCTCTACAGGCACTGTCAACGGTACAGGAACACGTGCCATCTCTGTTTCTTCAAGGTAAGACTTCCCAAAACATCTTTTTCTTTCTAATTTGCTTATGGGAACTGTGCTCTTATAACATGAATGTGATCAAAGTTTAAAATAAAAATCCTTATGAATTTAGTAGTGTGTTTTGGAGCTTTACCCAAATAAGAAATTATGGGTTTTGGATACTTTAATTTTTCAGTCATACGAAAGGAAGCTTAAGATTTTCATGTTAACTACTTCTGTAGTATTTTCAGTAAATTTGTTAATTTCTGGTAAAATTTAAGGAGAGTGTTATTTCCTGAAATTCAGGGATACTAATAAAACAGGTACAAGCGATCATGTGTGGGGAGCTTCTGGTAGTATTGTAGCTCCCCCAACTATTTTTTGTGAGAAATGGATCCGTAAAAAAATCATTATTAAGGGAATCTGAGAGTGCATGCACATGCAATGCACATGCATTCAGATGTAAATATACGCAGAGAGTTAGAGCCCCGTACCAGCTGATTAATGTTAAGAGGTAATGCCCAGGAGCATGATCCCTGCCAACAGGCAAGTATACATACACGTACATAGATGAAAGGGAACAAGGATGGGTACACATGCACAATTGGAGAGACGGGGCAGTATTCCTTCAGTGTACAAGTAGATAGCAAGTGGAATGAGCTAGATGAGGATGAGGTGGAGGAGACTTAGTACATTCAGTTGACCAGACCACACTAGAAGGTGAAGGGACGACGACGTTTCGGTCCGTCCTGGACCATTCTCAAGTCGATTGTCTTGATTGCTTACTACATTCAGTTTTAAATTTAGACAGTACTAAGCACACAAGGGTTTATAGTCTGGGGGAACATTTGAGGGCTGTAGAAACCTACAGCTACAGTCAGTCCCCTCCCTACAAATAAAATTAAGTGTACACACACTTATTCTTGAAAAGTATGTATTTATATCAAACGTTTTGGGGAATAGATAGCATTAGATATTGGGGGAAAAGGCATTTTAGGGATTAAAAGTTGGTTAAATTAATAATGAAATACTGAGGTTTGTATGAAATTGGAAATTAGTATTGTGAAGTGGCTAACAGTAGTTAATAAGGTATTGTAGCAGTTGTTAGGACTGAGTATTGGTGTTTGTAAAAAGTTTCACTTGAATTTGACAGTGATGCAGTATAACCTATGCCTAGTATATGGCAGTTTTGCTTATGAAGTGCTACTACTTGGTAAAATAACCTATTGTATAGTTGTACAGTATTTTTTAATTTTATTCCATTATTTTACTCTGCATGCTCTTTAAAATTAAATACAGTTTAGATTGTTGCTTTCATTGTGTGTGCGCTTCACTAACACTATATTAGTTTGGCATGAAATGTCAAGGAATTATTCTATTAATTTTTTATTGGCATGAAATGAGTTATTCTTTGTTTAGAAGTACAGTATATATTTGGCATCGGGCTGCAATTGTTATAAAAAAAATACATGCAGCACATTTTTGTTTTTTACAAATGAAGTAACAGGTCGCGTAGCATGACAAGGACTTCATCAGTATCCAGTATTCCAGTAGCTGTGACCTATTCATCCAGGTAACCTGCTAACACAAACCATATATAATATTAAACATTTTTGTTATGCTGGGAGTGCTTGGAACATTAACATGGTTTACTCTAAAGTCTTATGTTACTCATTTGCTAAATAATGCTCTTCAATCACATCTGAATGGCTATATTGCAGTTACTTAGAAGATTGCAAGAAAGTATTCATGGCATAAATATTGGTGGTTGTGCTAACTCTTTGCTATTGCATTTTTAAATATATCCTGTGCTATGACATTATGATAGAAATGTTACCTCCTTGACATAATTGTATTACATGACAAGGACAAAGGAAACGTATCAAGGGTAGGTAGGTAGGTTCACTGCTCTTGTATGTAAAGAAAAGTTTTGCCATTGAATTTTATAAATTTGCAAATTACATAAATTGTGCGCTCTTGGATGTAGACGGGGATGACGTTTTATTCAATTATTGCCAATCCATGCTGTCTACTTCGGTCGGATATCATAGCAGCTCTGAAAGTTAGGTTGTTTATAAGCAGTATATTGGAACATGCTTTTTTATTAGCAAACCTCAGATATGCTAAGCCTGGGAATGTAATATGGAGATTGCCTAGTAGGAAATTTTCCAAATATGTTAACTAAACTTCCTTAGAATAAGAAATGAAGGTCATGTATTTGCCAAAGACAGCCACTTGGTCACGTGGCTATCATTAGGTGAATCAATCATCACAGGCATGCACAAAGAAATGTGGAATAGCAAAGAAAATTATTAAAACAAGCATAGTACAGTATATATTTAGAGGCAAGGTAATGTATAGAAAAATAGATTGAATCAATATAAACACATGGTCATAATATGTTGGATAAAACCTAATAGACCTTAGTGGTATAAATTTAAGTATATAAATTGAGTAATGTCAATAGAAGAGGCTCCCTTTTTGTTGAGGGAGCCTCTTGAGAAAACTCAAAGTTGGTAAATAATCCAACCTTCACTTTAGAAGTGCCAAATGCCTCCCTCTCTCTCTCTCTCTCTCTCAAGCTTCAGTAAAAATTCCTGAAACTATGAATGTGCCAAGTGCTTTCAGCTTAAGCACCAGATCAGCATGAAAATTTTAGTATCTTGTAGTTTTTTTTCACACCTAAAACTAGTACAGTACTGTATAGCACTTGAGAACATTCACATGTACTGACTGTCTTGTCTGTATGTGTTGTGTCTAATAGCCAGAACAGCACTACTATCTGTAGCAAGTAAGACCCATTTTATCTCAATTTTTTCTTACTGTATTTTTAAATATTTTGAAATTAGTTCACCTTTTATAATACATAATACTTGTATTATATTATCATATTGACTATGACTTAGTCAACTGTTTTACCTATGTTCAATGTAATACTTCATAAAACTGTAAGTTTTTTTTTTATAAAGCAACACTGGAGAATGGATAGCTGCTGGACATTTTAAAACTGCACACAAGGTGACAATATTAACGAAATGACGAAGTCTTAATTGCAGACCCCTTTCACTGAATTGACAATGGTCATGGAATATCTGGAGAGGACAAACTTTAGAAATTAAAGACAACCCACATTTCAAAGAAGCAAGTCATGCTTGACTAAATGTGGTTCTACACATTACAATTTAAAAAAAGGATGTTTAGAGAGCATCATCTTTGTGAAAAAAGCTGACACTGTACCCCTTAACAGATTGATATACAGAATAGAAAAGCAGGCTGAAATTACAGTACTTGGAAGGTGGTAGATTATGGAAGACAATTCTGTACTCGCTAGGGAAAGCAGAGATTTATAGTGAAAGGAAGTATCAGGGCGGTGAAAAGTTGTAACACTTTCGCTGGGGAATAATGTTATTTGTCCCCTAAAATCAATTCACATAGTTTGGGGAAGGACGTCATGTGCATCCACAGTGCCCCAAAATTTCACTTATTTTTTAATTATTTTGCGACTTGTTTTAAAATGTACGCCAATTTGATACAAAAATAAAAAAAAATTGGTGAGAAAACTGTAAAGAGTTTAAACATTGGAGTGTGATTATGAGCTCACAGGCACCGCAGCACCCGCCCAGTGCCCTACCTTGCAGTGCACTGTGGGTGGCATGCCAACCCAGGCAAAGTGTTAAGTGTGTGGTCCTTGCTAAAGACTGCCAGTAGATCTTGCATGACAATGCTTTTACATGTTTAACTGATGAGAAGGATAACAACTGAAGATTCCACAAGTCTGCAGGAAGACTTAAGCAAGCTACATAAAAGTTTGTTCAGAAAATGGGTACAAAGATTCAGTTTGACCTAGTTTTAAGTAAAGAAGTTTGAGAGTGGGGGGAATAGATGAAGATGGATAGATAAAGGCTACAATGAGACAGAAAAATTTATAACTCTGGAAGTGACCAGTCTCATAACTTTTATAGTGCCAGCAGTAATGCAAGAATTACATAGTAGAAATTAATCAGCAATATACTGTATACACAATTGGCAAACATTAGAGTGACATTTACAAATCTAAGAATTAGAAGAAAGGACGATCAGGGTTGATATGATCACAACTTGAGATAGGGAAGAAGAGGAAAGGAAGATGAGTGGATACAGTTGAAAACTAGAAATCCAAACAAGATGGAGAGGGTTATGTAAGCTACACAAATTCAAGGGCAAGTGTAACGAAATGCTAGAACATTGGAAAGTGTGAAAGCCACATATTCAATACACACAGAAATCACACTAACATAATATATCAATGAACAAATCCACAAGGGCCATGGTGAGGGATCGATGCTATGCACGGGACCAAGGCGCATCTGGGAACATCCCTTGCATAGGTTCGAACCCTCGTCACAGCCCTTGTTGATTTGTCCATATATTCAAGCTTGGAAAGCAAAGGTGTGAAAAACTTATTCTTTTGCAAGTGGCCTCTCAAGTTGAGCCTGGCCTCGGGCCGGGCTTAGGGAGTAGAAGAACTCCCAGAACCCCATCAAGCAGGTATCAAGCAGGAGTGATGGATGGAATAAATTATACAAAGGTAGCATTTGCCAAAACAGTTTAAAAGCTATGATATTTATTTTTTAATGCAAATACGTGCAAATAATTTATCCATATCACTGTAGAAAGAGTGAAGAGCGTTGCTGTATAAATGTTTGTACAATAAATTTTGAAAAGAGCAAAATTTTTCCAGTAAAAAACTGGAAGCGCTGTATTACATGAAGTTTGTCACTCATTTATAGGTTTCACTATTTATAGATATAATAGGAGCTGCCTTGGATATAAATAGGAGCTGCCTCATATGGGCCAATAGCTAGGCCTCCTGTAGTTTCCTTCATTCTTATGTTCTTATTTAAGTTTAGAATATTGAATTTTTCATTGAATTTTACAGAAATAAATGGTTTTGAGTATAGGATTGAGAAAAAAAAAATTGGTTAATGTCAGGTGAACGAGGCAAGTCATCGTGATGCATAAATTATGGTTAATGAAACAATTTGAAGGTGCAGTGTATTGAGTCATATGATGTGTTCACAAAGCAAAGGTGTTAATGTGTTGAAAATGTGTACTGTGTTAAATTTGACATTTTTCATTCCAGTGGTACAAGTTTATGAGGTGGAGAGACGCACTGTAATAACTTCTAGCATTCAGTATTATATCTGCTTGATAGCACGAGCTGCATGCACACACAACTTTTCTGTAAAATATGCATTACTGTATACTAATTTCTTGACATCACTTGAGACATTGTTGTATATTGTATGGCACTGAACTAATTTTCCCCTCCAGGTTATATTCACCGACTCTGTCCAGTCGATTGAAAGAGGCAGGAATTAGGTAAATCAGTAAGCAGTGGCATGCAAAACCTACTTTGGTCCTTTTTCCTTGTATTGTGGGATCCTTACCTCTTCTTCATTTTGTTTTTCATGAACAGTGATTTTGAAACTCCCCAAAATCCCAAGTCCATAAATAAAACACAAGCATTTTTTTTCTAATCTTGTACCATTGCTGTACCATTAAATTTGAAGTACCAGTATGTGTGTGGTATATAACTAGGCTCGGTATCCAGTAAATATTCACGCCCGCAGTGAAATCCTTGTTCATGGCATTGTTAAAGATCATTTAGTTTAATTTGTTCTTGCTTTTTACCACGTTAATTTTTAAGTTGTATGTGCTATTAATTTGCACTCTGGGCAAGCAGTTCAGCTTGAGAGTAAAGGCAATGCATGTTACCTGTTATAGGGATATCCTCATTTTTATTAAGACTGTTATGTAAATTAAAGGTGTTGCACTGTAACATTATTAATCAAAACCTCAAATGTGTCCTTGCTTGCTTAACAATGTACATAATGCTTGGGCTGTAACATTTCTAGGTTATGTAATATAAAAGCTAAAAATGACATTACAACAGGTTTACAAGGCTAATACAGTATATTTAAATTTTGTATAAAGCTGGGTGATAATTTAATTTACTAATGAAAACTATAAAAATGTAACGGATATGGCTTTTAAGGTGCAATTTTGGTATAAAATGCTGTGCTGTAAGAGTGGTGTGTGGGTGAATTCACATGGTTTGTTTTTCTATGATACTATGTTCACAGGGTCTCTCTCTCTCTAGGACCAAAATTCCGGTTCTTGTGAGTCCTGCCTCTGATTGGGAACGGTAAATTAGTGTGGTGTTACTGGCAGTTTGGTGGTCTTGCTCAGAATCACATAATGAGATCGTAGTAGAATGTAATTTCCTAAGCCAGTTCAAGGTTGATCTCCCCCCCCCTCTCCCCCTGTATAAATCTCTGTACAGTACAAAGACCAATTGTTAACAAAGGGAAGTACAGTAATGTGTGCATTTGCTATATTCAGAGGTATAAGTATTTTTTAGTGATCAGTTTGGCTTGTATTTCAACCTTTAGTTGGTTTGGAAATAAAAAGCATTTATCTGCGAACTCATTTTATTTTGGTCTTGGTGATATGGATTTTTTTTTTTTTTTTTTGCTAGTTTCTGTATTACTGTATGGCCTGTGTTGTGCATTGTGCATTCTCATTTTGTGTGCACGTTTTTTTCTTTTTATTTTAAGTATAATTTGTTTTATGCTTTTTATTGAATCGTGCCATTATAAATCTTTTTACCTCAACCCCATGCAGACTTAGGACTTGAAAAAAAAATGGTTTATTTGGCTTTGGGTTACATAATTACTGAAGTAAAATATATCTGCATTTTTCATAGCCAGGAGGATATACTGTAATCTTTTCTGTAAATTTGATCTATCATTAACAAAGCTATATTTTGCATGACTGAATATAAGCTTTAGCACCAGGACATGCATAGAAATAAATTGGTAAAGTTAGTGTTTTGGTAGTATATGTGTCATTATCATGAAAAGTTCTGTGTGTGCTGTAGATGTTTTGTACTGATACATGCTCCTAAAAGTTTAACCCTCAAACTGCAAATTGGTATCCTGTAATTATTCCCTAGAGTGTGAGTGTGTGTGTGTGTGTGTGTGTGTGTGTGTGTGTGTGTGTGTGTGTGTGTGTGTGTGTGTGTGTGTGTGTGTGTGTGTAAAAAAATTAAGCAAAAGTTATGAATATCGATGATTTACTGTTTTTAAAAGTTGTGGAGAGTGCGAAAGTCGGTGATGCAAAGTACAATACCACATCAATTTCTATTACACCGTGTCGTCACTAATATGCATATCTGATCCCTATGCTCTTTCTGTCATGCACACAAAGCATTGTATTTGTGACCTGGGTCATAGGCATCAGGTGGTTGGTAGTAAATATAGTGATATAAACAATACTGTGCTCCTTGTCAAAGATTGCCAGGTAGACACAGTGAATCATGTATGGTACTAAGCCTAACTACTTGCAATTGACCTTGTTTGCACCATGAACACTTACCTTTATCATCATACTAGTACTTGCCAATATTACCCTTGTTCCCCAGCACTAGTAACAAGATCATACCAACACATTTACATTGGAATCACATATTGTAATGTTGACTGGCACCTCGGAGAGTGAGTGCAGCATGTCGTGGCTTTGTCTCAAATTACAGCACATCCGTACTTCCTCAATCTGACTTTATTTATATAGAAGATTGTTTCATCTGCTAACATTATTATTCAGGATCCATGATCAATAAAACCAACATTAAAAATTCTCATAAAATTTAGTATCTTATAGCACAAAATTTGCTTCTCTTTAATACATATCTCGCTACCATGATCACAATATATAATGTGTACAATGATCACCAACAATGTAATCACCATTGCCATTAAAATCAGTACAGATCACAATATCACTAGTTTCATCATATTTAATAGATTGTGCAAACAAATTGCCTCGATTGACATTAAAATTATTATTTTTTTTCACAATGAGAACCAAGGAAGCTAGCACTTACACATAACCACTGATGCATGGTCACCCCCCTCCCCCTTTCTGCCTTCCATTAGCAACAAAGTCACTATCACATCAAGAGAATCAGACAGCTGCAACAAATATGCTCCCACTCACCAATCAGCATAGTGTCAACCACCCAAACTCTCACTCCTCAGTTTCACTTCCCTTGTTGTTAGAACAGCTGATTTCATATTCTGAAAGATAGTGTTCAAGTTAATTTCTTGTAATGTATTCCTTTTCATCACTAGGATCTTTCAGGTCCTTTAAAGTCCTTGCAATTTTGTATGGTGTCAATGGTCTCAAGCATGGTCATGCTTTGCATTCAGGACTGGAAGAGGATGTACCAGACATGGTGCAGTTTTTCCCTTAAGGGGGGGGGGGGGAAATCTAAGGCTCTCATAATTTTTTTTCTAATGTGGCAAATGATAGCCTGAGGTCTTAGTATTGAATCACATCACGATAGAATTGGTGTGATGTTCAAATTACATTACAGGGCAGCCGTAATCAGCTCCAGGATTACTTGAATGCAGTTAGAGCAGTTTAAGGGTTAAACATTGCTTATATCTGATACTTTTTATATGTCGGAGATTTAACTGTGGTTCTTGTTCAATTATAGCTTTCTATTTACCTCTTTTGTTTGTGCAGTCATTCAAAAATTCAGTTTTATATCCGTTTTTGAACAAAATAAAATGTAATACAAGGTAGATGTGTGCATGGTTAAGCTATACATGTGAATCTAAATATAAATAAGATGTAATGAACTTTTCAATGAAATGACATGCATTTAACATAGTTACAAATGATTAGTACTGTATAGTATTTTGAAAACACAAAAATCATATCCATTACATTGGAGATACAAGATGTACTTTAGTCTCCAGATTAATGGAGTGAAATTATTGCATTGTGGTGATGGCTATTTTTTGTGACATATCCCCAGGACTAACCTCTCTGGCTCCACATCTAATCTGAATGTACCGGCAACTCCCCTCAGGTAAAGAAACTCCTCCCCATTTTGGCAAAGTGTAATTTCAAATTAGAGCACTATGTGCATTGTACCTTCTCAGCACAATTGAATTGTACATTAGCTTTAGTTTTTTAAAACTTCACTCGAGAAGAGTTAATTTACCGTTATCATCACTGTATTGTGTTTTCCATATTTTGCACATGTTAAACAATAAGGGTAAAATTTATTCTAATTTAAAATGTAGCTCAGCCCTATTTGTTTAACCTTAATGTACATTGTTTCACGAGTAAAGTTACTTATAGTGGTTCCTGTCTTTAGAACAAGTACAAAATAATAATTACGGAAGCAGCTAACACCTGGGGAAGGTACATAATACTTTAAATGATTTCTACAGGTCCCGAACTTCATCAACTACTAGTCTTAACTCCAATCATTCCACAAGCAAAATCCCAACTCTGAGGTAACTAACACGGGTCATAGAAAACAGGCATGAGTAGAAGTACATTAGTTTACAGTTTATGGTGTACTGTATACAGTATGTTAAAAATGTGTGTGTGTAGATTCTTACTAATTTGTAGAATGTAATGTCAAAGTTTTTTAAATTTAACTTTCTGGAGTGCTTGTTTGAATTAATGTTATTGAATTACTAGATTATGGAATTCTTTGGTAAAGTTATCTAGAGCTTTCTCTGTTAAATATAACTAATCAATATTGGTATTTAATTTCTACTGTTCTTTAACAAAAGACATTAGGAAAAACATTAATAAAGCCAGTATAATTTCTAATACTTTTGGATTGTAATATAGCAACCTGTAACTTTTAACAATTAATAACTCTTGCAGACAAAAAGTATCAGCCACACATACCACCACTTCCAAGACTTCTACAACATCAAGGTAATAAATCTATTTTACATAATTACATTCGGATAACTCGTCATTAATGACTTCAAGCATGTGTGCCTATATTTGTCAATGGATAGATACCTGAAGCTATTTTTCTCTTGGGTAATCTATTTTTATAGTATTTACTCCAACTATATTATCTAGAACAAAGTATCAAGATTATGAATAATGTGGAAAAGTTCTTTAAATTTCAGTGGATGTAATTAACAATGGTTTTCTAAATAATAGCTAAATAAGGCAGAGTATGGTACTCCTGTGTAGCATAACCATTTGTCTGACCATTTTTTTATTACCTGTATTATTATTATTATTATGGAAAAGAATTTGCCCAATCAAGATATCGAAAGTGATAAAGCTTTAGTTCCTTATTGTTGGCCCCCTCCCTTTCCAGCCCATCTTGAAGGGGCTTGGTGGGTGGCTGACAGAGTGTGATGATCTTTGGGACAGCTTGTCCTCTGGCCTTTTGAAGCTTTATGCTCCTGCTGCTGTCTTCACTAATTTTGCTGGTTGCTTTTTCCTCTTCCCCAAGTTTCATTTTTCCTCCCCACCTCTTCTCCTTTCTGATCGTTCACTTCTTGGCGACTTATTCTTGGTGACTCTGATACTTTTGATATCGTTCGCCTTATGCGTTTTTGTTCTCATATTGGCATCCTTGGTGATATTTAGCACCCTCTGATTATTCCGCACATTTGATGGTGCTACATAGCCTTCCCGGTTTGGTGCCTTCTTTTGATAATTACCTTACCTTCTTGGCGACTTTTTGCCGTTCTTGAATATTCTTTCTAATTTCGTCTTTTGTTTTGATGCCAGGTGTTTGGGGAGAGGCACTCTCGCCCGCTGAACTGTGGTATCCGACGTTGCAAGTGAGGAGACACTTTTATTGTCAAACTTTGCCTTTATTGCTGAGCCCGATCTCGACAGACTGACAGTCCTTATGTGGTGATTGCAAGGTGTATAGCAACAATGCACCCCTGAGGGGAGGGGCCTTGTCTTGTCGGGTGTTCTGTCCTCTAATTGTGGCTCAATGGTGTGTATGGGGGCTTATTTGTGGATGCAATTTTTACCTGTTCATTTTTATGCCATTCTCTGACCCTCCTTTAACTTCTCAGACTCGTTGGGGGGCAACCAGGCCCCTGAGTCAGACTGTGTTGGAAGGTCGGACTCTGTAGCCCCCACTATGTTGGGCCCTGACCAAGCTGCTTCACTGACTCTGCTCCCCTCCCACCTTTGTGGAGAGGTTGAGCCCCAAGTTCCCAGTGGTGACCATCTCATTACCTGGCGTAGCTCCGTCTCTCGTAACAACTGTGCCTTTTTAACCCCCCTCTTACTGGGGGTGCTCAGCATCATCACTTCCACACTCGCATGATTCCTTCCCAATCTACTACATTCCAGACATTGTTTGGTCCTGCTACATGGACTAAGTATTTTGATCTCAGTCATGTTGATCCTACTCGTCCTGATGATTTATTCCTCCATAAACACCTCGTTGATTCGGTAGATACATTTGTCACTTTTAACCCCACCCGTACTGGTATACGTGTTGTTGCAGCCCTTTCTAAGGAAGCGGCTGCACACTTGGCTTTGTTGTCCTGCATTGGAGAGACCCCCTCCCTGTTTGGATGTCTAGAAATGCCCAGTTAATTGCCAGCATTGTCACAGTTCTTCTCCTGCACCATGTTGCGACTGGTGATAGGGAACTGAAAAACTACCACACGGATATTAAACATAATATTAACATATCCTTGAGGCCCAAGGCCATTCTATCCTCCAGATTGATACCTTCACTCAACCCTCTCGTGGTCATCGTTGTCATCCTCTTCAAAATGAACTAATTGGTAGATATAAGAAAGCAAATTTGGTCCCTATATATCGGCAAACAATTTTTTTTTTCTTCAAGTTTCATAAGGAAAGTCTTTGAACACTTGAAAAATGGGTACTTTGTTTCAAAGCATCAACATCACATCAGTAAAGGTAAAACATGTCTCATAAATCTATTAAATAGCTCTACATTGAAATAACGATAAATGGGAGGGTGAACTCTGTTACTTTTTATCAGAAATCAGATGTACTAAAGTTCTTTTGTGTGAATGTACTAGACCAATCATAGAATAATTATTGTATTTAAATTTCTTATGATTATACTAATGCTTTGATAACAAAAGAGTAACAAAGTAAAACTCTGCTGGCCTAATGAAAAATGCTGGTAAGGGAGAATCTTCCTGGAAGGAAACTGACCTACATGGATGTAGTGTAGACATTGACAGTTGCAAATGAATGAAATAAACATAAAATGATAAGCACTTCAGATGAAGACATAAGAGCACAACGATTTTGTTTTAAAACAATACAACTGATCCATAAAAAATCTATAGTTGACCCAATTTTTTTTTGGAGATACAAGAGTTGTTACATTCTTGTACAGCCACTAGTACGCGTAGCGTTTCGGGCAGGTCCCTGGAATACGATCCCCGCCACGAAGAATCGTTGTTACAGCCAAATACACATTTTACTGTTGAGTTAAACAGAGGCTACAGTTAAGGATTTGCGCCCAGTAAATCCTCTCCGTTCAGGATACGAACCCATGACAAAGCGCTCGCGGAACGCCAGGCGAGTGTCTTACCACTACATCACGGAGACTGGTGGTAATAACTGCGTATATATTCTGGTTATATAGTGTGTGTTTCTGGTTGTAATATAGTTTTGACAATGTTTGTTACTAAAAAAAAAAATTCCCCCAAGTACTTTTAAGTATTTTTTTGTGTATTTTAATATTTTAATAGTTTTTGTATTTTGGTATGCTAATGAAAGTTTGGTAGTACTGTATAGCAAGGAAGTTTTTGGCACGTGCAAATAGCCCACTGCCCATTCAGTTAATATATTTGGAGTGTTTAGCTTATTATAGCTATTCAGCTCCTTTTCCGTTGCTGTTTCTTGACGATATTCTCAAGCAAGTATATTTCTCCTGGTAAGTGGTTTGGTTCCATTATAATAATCATGACTTTGTGATGTCATTTGCAGTTATTGTCCATTAATAATAAAGAATAAGAATAAAAAGCATTTAAGAGAACCTTGAAGGTTTTTGAATGCTTTGAAATTTAGTATATACTGTACAGTATTTTCTTGCAACCTTGATTATGTAATGTCATCGGGTTGTATTTTACACCTTAAAAATTTAACTAATGTATTATATAAGCTATTTTAAACAGTGCAGTAATGGCTTGATAATGTATCTTTTAATAAATTATAATATCCAGTCTTTGGAGTAGGGTATGAACTTAAAAAAATAAGTATTCTCAAGTTCAGTGAAGTCCACCATTACCAGGAATATTAGATTTTGCTTTGTAACGTGTGAAATTATTATTATTTTTCTTTCTATAGGACTCGGACTCCGTCGGGTTCCAGCAGCACAGGTGGAAGTACTAAAGTTACACGGAAGCCATCGGCAGCCTCAGACTCGCCATCTGGGGTAGCGAGAAAGACGGGAATTGTAGAACCAAAACGCAAAGTGTAATTAATTAAAAATGTGAATGATGACAAATACAAGATGTAAACTCTCTAATTATACAACACCAAATGCAAGTGAACATTCACAACTGATAAACTGACACTGTGTTTTAACAATGTAAACAGTAGTGGATGCCAAACATTAGTGGTAACTGTGTACATGGTCACCACTAGGAAAATTTATATATATATATATACTGGTCAAGTTTATACTTATCCAGTACATTATTTGGAGAAAGCTTTAACTGAACAGATCATTGTGATGGTTAAGTTATATTTGACATTAAATTAACATATTTATCATTGAAGGGTTTTTGTGATGAAATCTACATAACTTAAAAGACACTAAGAAACATTCACATATATGATTTTATTAGCATATGTGATAACATGACAGGGCAGGTCCTGTTGCCTAATATGTGGCAGGATTTGGTATATTGAGCCTAAATTGTTTTTATAATATAATGTGAAAGTGGATTATAAAAACACACGGGTTCATTATGTCTGGTCTGGTCATAGTGATACATGTAGGGTAGTGCAAGCCCATTTTGAGATTTCTCAGCCATTCCACTCAACATATCTTGCTTGCTTGTGAATATAGGTTGTTTATATGCAAGTCTATTAAGACATGATGCTTGAGTTTTTTTTCTGCAAAACTCTGAATATTCATAAATATATCTCTAATGATAACATTGCAAGTTATCTCTCTACATGCCTTACAAAGTTAATTTTCTCCATTTTTCTTTCATTGAACAAGTACAGAGCTCAGTTCAGCAGATAAATGTACTCGTATTGTTCATAATCCAAGGCTATTCTCAAGTGCTCACATTAACGCTTCATAACTTGTCTGTTCGTATCATCCAAACAAAGCTATATGGGGTAATACAGGTTGCTAAACACCTTGTAAGAAGTATATGTTGATTTGCAATTTGGAGTACAGCAGGAGTTAAATGGTGCTTTATAGTCATAGAATTTATACTAAACACATATTGGTACTTGGAATTGTTAAAATGAGCCTCGGTGGTTTCTTGTCTGTGCTGAACTGCAAATGTGATGAGAACAGTGAGCTTGAATTACAGATAGTGTAATACTAGATTTCCCAATTGTAAATGGGAAAAATATTGTAACGGCAACACAAAGGCTGATTTCGTTACTTTGTTTTGTAAGGTATCATTCCATTGTGTACCGTTCAGTCAGAATTTCTTGTTAAACAAAAAAATATCAGTCGTTTGTCGTGTAAATATGACGGTTCAAGTGGCTCTGAGGTAAGATGTGACCATAATGAGAGGGCAACACAAGGAGACAATCTGGTTCTGGGTTTTTAAGAAAGTTCACACCATCAGCTTTCTTTTGGGGTTGTGTTGTTGTATTGCCCACTCATTTTGGTACAAATTTCTATTCTTTTCTTTTTTGTTGTTCAAAATCTTTTTTTAACAATTTTAATTATGGTAAATTTCTTGCTGTTTTCCGTTTTTGTTGTACCTGTATTGTTTGTATAAACCTTCGCTTTCATGCTTTTTTATAAGTTGTAAATATAATAATGTTAAAGCCCAATGAGAGACTTAATTATAAGGGCACAAAAGAAATATTGAAACTAAATGAAATCAGATGTACTAAAGTTCTTTTGTTTGAACATACTATACTTGACCAATCATAGAATATTTTTTGTATTTAAATTGCTTATGATTATACTAATGCTTCGATAATAAATGAGTAACAAAATACTGAAGTTTATATATGCAGGTTAATAAATGACATGTTACCTATTTTGTTAATGATGTGGATTCTATTGCCAGTTGCATTACACAAATGAGTACAGTGGGGTCTCTATTTTTTATGGTAATCCGTTCCCAGAGATGTATCGTAAGTCGAAGCGATTTTTCCCATAAGAAATCAAGTGAATTGAATGAATCCGTTTCACACCGTTTTAGATGTTATTAACATCTAATTGTCTTCATATCTCTCCCGATCCCCTGTCCAGTATATCAGGGTAGTGGCAGCATCTTTGTATATGTTTTGAAAGCAGCTAATACCTATTTTCACGTCTCCTCAATTTTCTCTGATGCTAGTTACTCAGAGCTTAAATTTTGAGCATCTATATTGATTGGTTACATTGCTGATGTTCAGAGTAATTATTACACCCTCTCCCTTTCCCCCCCCCCCTTCTCTTTCATCTTTCTCCTGCTCCCCTTCCCCTCTTATCTGTTTACATGGTGTATGAAATGCAGCAATAAATACAAACAGGCAGCATCGTCTGTTCTCAACATGACCTTTTCCCTATTATCCATTTAAGAAAATTAATTGTAAACAATGTACTGTATACATAGTAAGCTACTGATATATGAAAAGATGTTACATATATTGTACACTTTAGGCACACTCAGTGCTCCCACTTGGGCTGGACGGTAGAGCGATGGTCTCACTTCATTCAGGTTGGCGTTTAATCCAAGACCGTCCAAGTGGTTGGGCGCCATTACTTCTTCCCATCCCATCCCAAATCCTTATCTTAATACCTTCCCAGTGCTATATAGTCATAATGGCTTTGCACTTTTCCCTGATAGTTGTCTTCCCTTCTATGCTCTAAACAAATTAGTTTTACCACACAGGATCTCTGGGATTAGAGCAATTATTATCAAATAAATATACAATGTTAAATAGAAATTAAGATATTATTCAAAAAATTATTGTACAAGAAATCTGTATTTTTGAACTATTAAATTTAAAAAAATATAATTTAACCCTTAGTATTGCAATCATTTATTATATTGAGGATAATACAATTCAACTTCTTTCTTTCTTATGCACCCCATACCCATCTTGTGGGTGGCGGTGAAAAAGGTTACAGAGGCCCATATTGGGTTCAGGAACTGAACCCCATAGTTCATTAGCTAAGCAAGTGACAGTCTTTTGAAACTAGTTACACAATTGTTAATGTTTTATATATATATATATATATATGTATGTTATATATATATATATATATGTATGTTATATATATATATATATATGTATGTTATATATATATATATATATGTATGTTATATATATATATATATGTATGTTATATATATATATATATGTGTATGTTATATATATATATTATATATATATATATATATGTATGTTATATATATATATATATGTATGTTATATATATATATATATGTATGTTATATATATATATATATGTATGTTATATATATATATATATGTATGTTATATATATATATATATGTATGTTATATATATATATATATGTATGTTATATATATATATATGTATGTTATATATATATATATGTATGTTATATATATATATATGTATGTTATATATATATATATATATATATATATATATATATATATATATATATATATATATATATATATATATATATATATATATATATATATATATATAGGCACAACTCTTCTAAACACGAGAGTGAAGTATACAACTTTAGAACACTTTCCCACCAGGAGACTCGAACCCTAGCCAGCACAGAAGCCTTCCAGCAACTGGCATAACAGGTACGCCTTAACCCACTCCATCACCACTCAGACTCTTAAAAGAGATGGTAATTTCGGAGTATTTAAATACACAAAGATCATCACATGATCTTTGATGATCTTTTGTGTATTTAAATACTCCGAAATTACCATCTCTTTTAAGAGTCTGAGTGGGTGGTGGATTGGGTTAAGGCGTACCTGTTATGCCAGTTGCTGGAAGGCTTCTGTGCTGGCTAGGGTTCGAGTCTCCTGGTGGGAAAGTGTTCTAAAGTTGTATATATATATATATATATATTAAATAAATACAGTATATTGTACATACTGTATAATCATTTACACAAATACATATATCAATAATCTTTTTATATCAAGTGATTCAACAACACTATACCAAGAGGCTCATAAGTCACTATACAAGGCACTTTACATCTATGGTGAGTCACACAGTTACTAGTCTTGCTGCACACCCACCCAACTGGGCGGCAGCTTTACAGTCGTGCAGGCTGCACCTACAGTAAGCAAACTTTGGATACTTCGCTAAGATTCCTGGCAGTACATCATTATGAATGAAGTACTTAAACATTTCTTGGACTCCATTGATGGTGTTATCTCTGAATTCTGCAATTTTTTTTACATTCCATTATATAATGACACAAAGTATGCGAATAGTTCTGCTGACAGGGTTTACATTTAGTCAAATCTTCATCAGCAGATGTTACAAACTCCCAGAGGTATTGTAGCCGAGCCTAAGCCTAGCAGTGGTAACATCTAGAAGTCTGCTAACCTTATTGGACGACCCAATAAGGTTAACCTTATTGTTTTCAGTATAAAAATATGCAAGTTACAAGTATTATTTTTGTTGGCCATTATAGTTACACTTAAAGTGCCCCTCTCTATGCACACCTTCCAGATATATTTCAAATAAATATGAAACTGAAGTAGCAATTATGAGAGATCTTAGGAGCATTAAAGAGAAATATGTAAATCAGCAATATATATCTTACCTTTTACGCAATAAATAAAAGGGAAGTGGGATCGTATCATGCATAAAAGATTCATAGGAATTTGAGTCGCCTTCAGAATCATAGGAATGTGAGTCACCTTCAGAATCATAGGAATATCTGTCATCATATATTGATTTAAAGGGATACAATGTTGAATGCCAGTTAACAGGTCTTTGAATCCCAGGTAGGTTTTGTCTTTGAATCCCAGGTAGGTTTTGTCTTTGAATCCCAGGTAGGTTTTGTCTTTGAATATTTGGATGAGGAATGGCAGCATGGTGACTAAATGGTCTTAAAGCAGTATGTCTCGGAAAGTCATTGGGTCCTTCAGCTGGTCTTGAAAAAATAGGTCTTTGATTTACAGGAGCTTCAGTTGATATGGGAGCTGCATGAGTGGGTATGATGGGTCTTATGGCTACTATGGGATTAATAGGTTTCTCAGTCTGCGTATCAGGGCGAGATGGACTGTAGTCATCAATTGAAATGTGATCTGCTTCAGGTCCGTGATTGTTAGCACACGGTCTCTGATCTGTTAAGGTAGGCATGTGTACGGTAGATGGTGACGCAGGGGATGGTATAGAGGCAGGTCTGAAGAAATTTAGTTGTGTCTGCTTTATGCCAGAGCCTGGTGCTGAAGAATCAGGTAACGGTTTTAAAGTTTCAACTGGTCTAAAATTCTTTGTTGATTGTATATTAATTTTAGCAGGAGAATATTTTTGTTTTTTATCACCAACTTGCTCTAAAATAGGGTTGTCCTCAAAAACTGGAGAGTGTACCGATTCCAAAGGTAAAGTACTATATTTAAGTAAATTGTTCAAGACACCATCAATTCTATTGACGTCACTGGCTGAATGGGCACTAATGGCATCAGTCCCATCTTCTGCGCCCACCGCCCAAGACCAAGCATTCATGAAGTTGTTGAGGACATTAAGAATTGGCAGATTTGATGAGCTGGTGGAATCTTTAGCAGAATGTGTCTCCTCCCATACAACTTTGAACTTCTGAGCTGCTTCCTTAACTAACTCAGAATTCTGAATCTGGTCGGACAACTTGTTCACCAATGGCATGTAGACCATCCCGATTTCTGGCCATGCCTTCGTTACTTTCATATAAGGAGCATTTAGTCGATCTGCTTCCTGATTCCAAATAGTTATATAATGTAGTTTAGATTGCTCTATGGCAGGATCCTCTGCAGGCTTCTCATCCTCAGCATTCGCCAGAGCGCTTCTCAACGTATCGATAACAGAACTGACACTTTGCTGCTGGTATTCCAAACCAGCATTCTGGTGAAACTTCGATGCATTATTTTTTAATAGCATCTCAATTTTCTTTTCAGATTCAGGTGCGAACGTTGTTACCTGTTGGGTGGAAATTTCTCCCGAGTTGACAGAGTTAACTGGAAATGGCAAACTCGTTATTTCTGTATTGTTCTCTGCAGGCGTCGTCGTCTCCGTATTTTTGCGAACAGGAATGTTATCAACAGTTGCGTCCAAATTTGTTTTTATTATTTCAGTATTTTGCACCAGCGTCGTTTCAGCAGCTGCATCTGTTGTAGTCAAAATTTCATCACTATTTTGTACTGTTGATGCGTTGGAATAAATAGGGAATTGTTCTGTTAGGTCTTCTGATTCAGACTGTGCATATTGTGTTGTGGGAGCTATAGTGTCTGCGTATAGTTTCGTGACCACATCGCTGCTCCCTGCTGCTCGTTCCTCTCCCTCACTCTTCTGCGGCACCTGGTCTCTTGACTGAAACAAATGTTTGTAATCACTATAAACATGTAATTATAAAAGAAAGTGCTGAGCCAGTATGGCTTTATTCAATTTCGAAATCCAAAATACAGATGCAATACTAGTGCTGATCTATAGTTTATATAAAATAAACAAGTCACATTCTTCTCAGTTATGGGTACAAGACGCGACAGTAGTTGATGTCCCGAATTATCCTAAGAACAATTTGCTTACCTCAGAAAAAGAGGTACTAGTTCAGAGGTGATTAAAAGTACAGTAAATAAATAAAAATTAAATGCTTCCATCTTTCAAGTACAATAAATAAATAAAAATTTAATGCTTCCATCATTCAGTAGATTCATTCCATGTACAGGTATTTCCAGCATCCTTGAATGGTGCTTGTTTTCTATTAATGCTGTTATGTTTAAAGAAATGTTAACTTTTTAATGAAAGCAAGATAATGTGAAAGCTAAAATGAGTAGAGAGGAATTACGACAGATTGTGACGTAGTTTACTCACCCAGAAGAGTGTGAAGGGTGTCCCAGCCACCAGTACTGCCTGGAACACCACAGCGACCACCTGCAACATCGCCAGTATTATACAACCGTCTCACCTACTTCTTCAATCATTTTATTACTTATTATTACTGTCATTTTATAAATATAATTATTTTATCTATTATTTATTCTTGTTAAGTCTTTTTGTATTTTCCTCTTTATAAAACCATTTTTTTTTTTTTTTTTGAGATATATACAAGAGTTGTTACATTCTTGTACAGCCACTAGTACGCGTAGCGTTTCGGGCAAGTCCTTAATCCTACTTATAATTATTTATATAATACTATTATTTTAATATTATTATATAAAATAAATTTATATAATAATTTATATTATATAATTATATAATACTACTTATAATTAATCCATTTTATAATTATTTAATTTCATAATGTACTTACTGTGTGGCAATTTATATGTAACTAAAACTAACAGAGTATGGTAAATCTAACAGCAAAACATGGCAACCCGTCCTCGACTCAAGTCCATTGCATCCAGCGGTCGACCCCACAGACGCATTCATAAATTTTTACATGCTATTCATTCAAAACGGGAATTTTCTCAAATATAAATTAATATTATAATATATTAGCATATTAAGCATATATAGTCATAGGTTAGGTTAGGTGTTTAGGTTCTGTTGGCGATTATTTCTATTTGTAGTACGTGGGTGAAGCATTTACAGCGTTGTGGTTCGAACAAAATTCGTCAGTGAAGCACATGTTCCGGAAGTGTTCGAACGAAATCAGTTGTGAGTCGTGTATAAACCGTTTTTCCTTCATAAACAGGTGGTTTGGCGGGTTGCATGGAATCACTTTTGGGTCTTTGTTCAACCCAAACAAAGTTTTTACACCAGGCTGTTTAAAGCAGCGGCCGTCCTCCCTCCCCAGACGCATTCATCAATTTTAACATACTGTGTATTAAAAATGGGGTTGTTCTCATATATAAAAATAATATTCGTATACATAAGAATTGTATTTATAGTTTGGTGTAGGTTAGGTTAGGTGTTTAGTTTCTGTTGGTAATTATTTGTATTTGAAGTACGTGGGTGAAGCATTTATAGAATTGTGGTTTGAATAGAGGACGTGAACGAAGCACTTGTTCCCAAAGTATTCGGACCTCATCAGTTGTGAGTCGTGGGTACACCCCTATTCATTCATACACAGGGGGTTTGGCGGTTGGATTAAAGAGCTTGGATCTTTGTATGCGAGAACGGGTTGCTTTATTTGGCGGCAGCCTGTCCTCCAAACAAAGATCCAAAAGTGATTCCATGCAGCCGCCAAACCCCCTGTTTATGAATGAAAAGCGGTTTACACACGACTCTCAACTGCTGACGTTCGAACATATCCGGAACAAGTGCTTCACTGACGAATTTTGTTCGAATCACAACGCTATAAATGCTTCACCCACATACTACAAATACAGAATCGTCAACAGAACCTAAACACCTGACCTAACCTATCCTATGCCTATATATACACAAATGCCAATATATTATAATATTAATTTATACTTGAGAAAATTCCGGTTTTGAATGAACAGCATGTAAAAATTTATGAATGCGTCTGTGGGGTCGACCACTGAATGTAATGGACTTGAGTCGAGGACGGGTTGTGGGAGGACAGGCTGCGACTCACAACTGATGACGTCCGAACACTTCCGGAACAAATGCTTCGTTGACGACTTTGTTCGAACCACAACGCTCTAAATGTACAGAACCTAAACACCCAACCTAACCTAACCAGTGCCTAAATATGCACAATATGTTAATATACAATAATAATAATTTATATTTGAGAAAAGTTGTTTTGAATGAACAGAATGTTAAAATTTATGAATGCGTCTTTGGTGTCGACGGCTGGATGAAATGGACTTGGTCTGAGGATGGGTTGTCCACTCAGCCTCAGATCCCAATTTGATTATTCCGTCGTTTGGGAGTGGAAAAACGCAAAGATAGGCCACTCCACCCATGAGAGGCCCGTAAGTAATTATCAAAAGAAGGCACCAAGCTGTCAAGAGGTCTGTGTAGTTTGGCGGGCGGCCACCAGGTGCCGCGGCGCGACCTTTGCATCACGACCAAGTCTTGTGTTTACCTGTGGCGGCCATATATCCACCCTCTTTCACCGCTTAAAATTTGTGAAAATATATTGCATCCTGCCACTATGCCATCAGGGAATGCCGGAAATCTGTTGTTTAGGGTTTCAACAAACAGTGAAGTCAAGAGAAAACCCTGTTATGATGAATCTCGAACAAAAAATACAGCTTATAAAGGAAGTTGAATCTGGAATTCCTTGGTGTGTCGCCTGTGCCAAATACAAATTTAGCAGAACTTCATGAGTATATTGAGTTTCATGATATACTGAAGGCTAAAGGAGATTTTTGCAAGTTATGCTAAAAGTGAGTGATGTAGCAATGTGTAACAGAAAAGTTATTAGTAATGCTGGTGTTAAGTGTTTATGAGGCTATCTGGGGGTGGTATAGGAAGACACAAGACGCATTCAAAAGAAGTCAGGGTGATTAATCAGACAGGATGGCTGATTGAGGAAAAAGCCAAACATTTTCACCAACAAATGAAGCTTCGTGTTGTGTAGTTAAGAGTGTAGTGTTGGATGGCTAAAGGGGTTTTAAGGTTCGTCATGATATTATACGTGCGAAATTACAAGGTGAAAAGCAATATGCTGATGTAAAGGTGCAGAGGAATGTGTTCCCAAATTTGAGATCGTGCAGGACGATTCTTTATCTCCTGAGCAAATTGATAATGCCGATGAAACAAGCTTGTACTGGGGTATGTTAGCCGTACCTTCAACACCTCAGCCTTAACCCTCGGTTAACACTACCATACTTACCAAGACATTACCCCAAGATCACACGTGAAGAAACATTTGGACACTTGGTGAGTACCCTTATAATAATTTCTGATTTTACACAAATATACATAATATGATACGTGATCAGAGGAAGATACACGGGTAAGATATTGCATAAGTTGTTGTTGTTGTTATAGATTCAGCTACTGTTGTTATAGATTCAGCTACTCGGAACAAGTTCCAAGTAGCACGGGCTATGGTGAGCCCGTAACTTACCTGGCACAGGAGCGGGGCAAGTAGCATGGCCAATTGCCGCGTAACGTGGTGGAGATGGGGTCCCTCGATTGTTTCAAGCGCGGGTTGGACATGTATATGAGTGGGATTGGGTGGTTATAGATAGGAGCTGCCTCGTATGGGCCAATAGGCCTTCTGCAGTTACCTTTGTTCTTATGTTCTTATGGTGAGCCCGTAGTGGACTTACCTGGCACAGGAGCGGTGCTCCATTGCATAAGGCTACTAATGCGCAGTGCGTGTTTCATAACAAGATAACAAGTTAGGTTAATTAGAGGTCTGATGTGGTAGACAATACAAACAAGAAATGGGCTGACATAAAAATCAAATATGAGTACAAATCTGAATTGTTGAAAGTTTTGACAACAAATGGCAGTTTAAAAGAAGGTAAGGTGCCTAATCAGGAGACAGCGCCAAGCTATTACAACAATATAGCACTTGGAAGGGATCGGGATAAGGATTTGGGATGGGACGGGGAAGGAATGATGCCCAAGAACTTGGACGGTCGGGGATTGAAGGCAGACTTGCAAGAAGCGAGACCGTTGCTCTACCATCCAGCACAAGTGGTTGGTTGAAGTAAATGAGAATAAGAATAATAACATACAATACTTTATGGTATATAAAGACAGTAGTATCTATATAGGAACAACAAATATTAGGTAATTAATAAATAATATTCGCAAAAACAACAAAACACAGGTTTTGACATGTAGGAGTAGAAAAAGTTAGGAAAAATGGTTACATAACGTTAATAATGTAGTTCTTAGCTTCTCTTTTAAACTGGCCAGAAGACTTTTTTAATCTTATTTGGGCGGTCATTCTACAATTTAGAACCCTTGATTTGTAGAGCGTTTTTGCTTTGGTTAAGTCGCTCTCTAGGGATATCTAAAAGATCGTGGCGTAGTGGTAACACACTCGCCCCGCGCTTCGCAAGCGATTTTGCCTAGGTTCGTATCCTGGCCGGGGGAGGATTGACTAGGCGCCAGTCCTTAACTATACACCTCTGTTCACCCAGCAGTGGTTGGGTACCTGGTTGTTAAACGATTGACAGGTCGTATTCCAGGAAAACTAGTGGGTTTGGCTTTTCATGAGCTAAGGAAGGGAAAGCTCTCGGGCCTGCTAGCAGGGGTTTAATGATGTCTGACGACTTAACATTTAGGGAGCGTAACCAATCAAATATTTGCGTCAGCCAGAAAAATAATAGGATGGATAATGAGAACTTTCAAATCCAGGGATTCCGCAATGGTTGTACTATTCAAATCACTTGTGTTGTCCCGTCTTGAGTATTGCTCGGTACTCACTTCCCCTTTCAGAGCAGGAGAGATTGCTGAAATAGAGGGAGTACAGAGAACATATACGGCACGCATAGACGCGATAAAGCATCTAAATTATTGGGATCGTCTCAAAGCTCTCCAAATGTACTCTGCTAGAAAGGAAACGAGAGAGATATCAAACAATATACTCATGGAAAATACTGGAGGGCCAGGTCCCAAATCGACACAGTAAAATAACAACATACTGGAGTGAACGATATGTAAGAAAATGCAGAATAGAACCAATGAAGAGCAGGGGTGCCATAGGCACAATCAGAGAACACTGTATAAGCATCAGAGGTCCACGGTTATTCAACATCCTCCCAGCGAGCATAAGAAATATTGCCGGAACAACCGTGGACATCTTCCTGAAGAAAACTATCCAGTTTTCTCTTGAAGTGCCGGACCAACTGGGCTGTGATGGATATGTGAGCCTGCAGGCTGCTCCAAGCAACAACCTGTTGGACCAAGCTCTTACTAGTCACGTCTGGCATCAAGCCGGGCTTGGGGAGCAGAAGAACTCCAAGAACCCCATCAAACAGGTATCCCAAACCCCTATCCTCACATACCCTCCAAGTGTATTATAGTCATAATAGATTAGTGCTTTCTCCTGATAATTACCCACCTTTCCTCTAAATTATAGTTAGAACCACAGAACCGTGGTTAGTGAACTAGGAAAACAATTGTGAGGAGAATATCATGATATACAAAAAATGATGATTTTTAAGCAAGAGAAAGAGGAGAAGAATGGCTAAAAATGACCAGACTCAACCACCTACTCGGTCAAATGCTAGAGAGGACGCAAACACAGTGGCCTCCTTACCAGAGCCTCAGATATTAACACCAAGGCATCCAGCACTTCCACTAACACGATAACATCATTTATATTTGCCAACATCCAGGGTATAAAAACACGTAAATCCAACAGAGTTCATTTTATAGATGGTCTCCTTCATGAGGCAAATGCAGTGTTTGCAGCCCTAACGGAAACCCACACAAAGGACTACCATGATGGTGAAATATGGATCTCAGAGTACAATCTTTTCAGATGTGACAGGAAACACCGGCTACAAGGTGGGGTCAGCCTCTACATCAAAGACACACTCATCTGTACTGAGCTGCTAAACACCTCAAATGATATGGTGGAAGTGCTGATAATCAAAATAGAGATCCTAAATGTAGTTATTGTCCTTATATATGTCACCGGAGGCAAACCCTCAGCAATTTAAAGACCAACTAATGCAAATAGAACACTGCTTGGAAAACCTCACAAATCCAGCTCCGAACATCATCCTGCTTGGGGATTTCAACCTACGGCACCTGAAATGGAAGTACCTGGCTAATACAGTAATATCAGAAAGAATACCAGGAAGTAGCCTAAATGAACAGGCACATGCAAATGACCTGCTACGGATGTGCGACAGGTTTGCCTTAAGGGGCCATGAGTTATTTTATAACTAAGGGGCCATTTTATAACTCATGTTGTTCAATGTCAACAAATATTTTTTGACTAGTTGTACAGTATATGAAAAGGGCTGTAATTGTTTCAAGCTTCAGTATTGCAGCCTAAATAGAAAGGGAGATTTTTTTTCGACGAATTTTACACATTTTCAAATCGAAATTACAACCACAAGTTTCAAATGAAATCATTTCTATGACACTCTTCTATCACATTAGCATATAATAAAAGGATCCTTATCCGCGGATTTTCCAAAATATATTTAGTTTTACTAATACAGTTAGTCAAAGTTCCATAAAAAATTATGCAAATATATCATGGTTTATTATTAGTATAAAATCAATAAATGAAATTTTTCACACTTTTCCCTGTGAATGCTTACTCCGTAACCTAATACAGGTTACAGTAACCTTCACGCTACCGTCCAAATGAAAGGAATGGGGTCTATGTAAAGCCAATTATACACAAACCCGAATACTAACGTGTCACCATCTCCCCCCTTCGTCTCTCCCTCCCTAACCTTCCGCTGAATATCTCGTAGCCAAGTCATCGACATTGGTCTTGACTTTCAAAGAGGTAACGGGATGTGTTGGTGAGTACGGCGGCGTGCCGGCAGGTCAGGCGTGTAACCATCTTCACCCAGCTGGCGTTACATTGTGTGTAAGTCACAAGGTCATCTTCACATATCGGCAGTGTCCTTCAGATCATATTGGCACACACATACACAGGTGCTTATGTGTACAAGCATGAATACAAAATACATGACAAAATGTTGACAAGTCACAATCGACTTGAGAATGGTCCAGGGACGGACCGAAACGTCGTCGTCCCTTCAACTTCTAGTGTGTGGTCTGGTCAACATACTTCAGCCACGTTATTGTGACTCATCGCCTGCACATGACAAAATAATATATATTTACAATAATGATGAAAAGCACCGTTCCTAAGATCAAGGACACCTTAGAAATACAGTTGCATGACCTACATGATCTTGCCACGGACTCCCAGTGTTACTGTCACACAAGAAGTGTGCTCGAATACAGAGCTGGACACAGCCCCGCTCCTGTGCCAAGTACGGGCTCACCACAGCCCGTGCTACTTGGAACGAATTGTTCCGAGTAGCTGAATCTACAACAACAACATACAATGCTGAAGGCAATACTTTGGTTTATGGGGCGTGACGGTCAGGCCGCGGTTACCTTACCTTGCGGTGATTACGAGGATCAACGTCCCCGCAGCCCGGAGCCTCCTGGTTGGTTGTCTGGTCAACTACACATTTTATATTAAAAGTTACACGGGTGTGACGGACGTCCTACCGTGAACGCCGAGCAAGATTTAAAATTAGCGGCCGAATTAATTAGTTTTGTCGATAACAGGAAGGCTGTGCATATATTATATATATATTTCGCACACACACACACGTATTGACAAAGGGAAATTCCTAAAACCAGCAACTTCACGAACAAGAGGACACAGATTCAAGCTAAGGAAACAAATGTGCCGAAAAAATACTAGAAAGTTTTCTTTTGCAGAGTGGTAGACGGTTGGAACAAGTTAAGTGAAAAAGTGGTGGAGGCCAAAACTGGCCTCCACCAGGCCAGTTGTAGGTGGTGGAGGCCTGGCCTCCATAGTGTATATATATATATATATATATATATATATATATATATATATATATATATATATATATATATATATATATATATATATATATATATATATATATATATATATATATATATATATATATATATATATAACACAAATACATATAATCATCTATTCATCGATAATCTTTTGTGTCAAAAGTGATTCAACAACCTCACAACTACGAGCGTAGTTCTCATTCTGTAGCTACACTTTGGTAATTACACTTTAGGCTTCACTCGAGATCCCCCCGTAGCTCCAACTACTGACCCTTCCCAGGATGCAGCCCCACAACAAGCTGACTAACTCCCGGGTACTTATTCACTGGTTAGGTGAACAGATCCATTAGGTGAAATTAAAGGCGCTTAATCATTTCTTAACGAAGGAAACTAACTGTATACTGAACATATTATAGTACGATCCTATACACTTAAATAGACGAGAGAATTAAAATATTGCAGTCAACCGGCTATTTGGACCGGTCAGTTCTCACCGTTCATATCTGAACTGGTTTTGCCTAACCAGAAGGGTTAGAACGCTGGCAACCTAGGTACACGTCGAGCGGCCAGCCCGTCCGTAGACCAGTGTTCATAATGCAGTCTTTGATGGCGCAGTGGAAACACATTCGCCCCGCGCTTCGCGAGCAATTTGGCCTGGGTCTGTATCCTGGCCGGGGTGGATTGATTAGGCGCCAATCCTTAACTGTAGCTTCTGTTCATAAAACAGTGAATGGGTACCTGGTTGTTAAACGATTAGGCGGGTCGTGTTCCAGGGAAAATTTGGGATAAGGACGCGCCCCAAACGCTGTGTGCTAGTGGCTCTACAATAATGTGAGAACTCTTATATATATAAATACAATTAAAATAAAAAAACCTGAAGCAGCAGCAATATTACGATACTTTTAATTTCACTAAATAAAGGTTAGTTATATATATGGCAATAAAAGTAACTTTATAATCGGGGTAACTTTACCTGCGTGGAGAGAAGCATGATGGAGCAGTTAAGAGGAAGGAAGGCTCAGACTCAGAGCCAGTGGTGATGCGCAGCGGTGTGACCTCGACCCAGGACCCGTCAGTACTGCTGGCTCCTCAACCTTACAAAGCTAGTTACCTTGGCCAGCTGTGTCCTCCCCTCCCTCCCCTCCCTCCACCCCCACCGTCCTCACAATACGTAGGTTCCCACCGGTCCCCACCGGTGATAATTTTTGACCCATCCCCCGACGCATCGCACTACCCATCCCCCACGAATCCCCTTACCAATCGCTCTAACCAAAACTCCCCTCCCCAACCCCCTTCTCTTTACTGAAGACTAATCACTAGTAATATATCTAATCACAAATATATCTGACTCGGAGAGTTGAAAAAGAGCGTTTTTGATACATTGTTACAACGTATTAATATAATTTTTAAAAATATCATTACTATACAATTGTATAGGATTATATATGATTCCTTCTCAACTCACACTCGGGAATTCTGTGTTCGAATCCCGGATTGAATATAAATAGTTGCACGTTTCCTATCACCTAATGTCTCTGTTCACCGTGTTGTAAATAGGTACACAGGAGTTAGTCAGCTTCTTGTGGGGTTGTTTTCTTGTCAGGGTAAGGAGTTCGACCTGATTGATTGATTGCTGACGATTAAGCCACCCAAGAGGTGGCACGGGCATGAATAGCCCGCAAGTGGTAGAATTTTTGGAGTGAATGTGATCGTTCGTCGTGGTCGTCATATACTGTGTGCTGAGCTCGCATTTAAATGACGAGTTCGACCTTAGGGGGGGGGGACTCGATATATACCTAACATGTATATATACATTGGCTGCCCGTCCCCCAACACAATGAATGAATGAATTAATTTGACTCTTGATGGAGTGCGAAAACATACTTTTTTTTTAGATATATACAAGAGTTGTTACATTCTTGTACAGCCACTAGTACGCGTAGCGTTTCGGGCAGGTCCCTGGAATACGATCCCCGCCGCGAAGAATCGTTGTTACAACCAAGTACACATTTTACTGTTGCGTTAAACAGAGGCTACAGTTAAGGATTTGCGCCCAGTAAATCCTCCCCGGCCAGGATACGAACCCATGACAAAGCGCTCGCGGAACGCCAGGCGAGTGTCTTACCACTACAACCACGGAGACTTATCCATAAAAACAGTCAGAGACATGAATTTAGAGATAGCTCTATAATAATTGTTTAAAATATTTGTAAATATCTAGCTCAAAATGATCTTCTACCAGACATTTTAGCCAAATATCCGGTTTGCTAACTGTAAGTAGTAAATGTGACTTATTGTAACCTTCCACCACTGCCCACTTGAGGGTGACGTGGATGATAAGCAAGTCAAATTATGAAACTAGCTCACCGCATTATTCCCTAAATACTGGAACGTGTCGCTATGATAACTGCAAATACTTCCACTAGAAACTGTGTAAAAATCCGCTACCAAAAAGGAGTGTTTTAACACTGTCCAGATTTTCATATCAAAGGAACAAAGCGAATACCTCCAGAAGAACACCATTATGAACACAGCAACACCCATACATACCAGGGGGCGGGGGGGGGGGATATTGTAGTAAGAGAAAGAGAAAAAGAATGCCAAGAAATGTCCAAACTCTACCGTCAACTCCTTGCGATTACCTTACGATGAATTCGGGGCTTAGCGTCCCCGCGGCCCGGTCCTCGACCAGGCCTCCTATCACTATCTGGGTCAGATGGTAAACAGGCCACAGATAATGAGGAAGCCTTACCAGAACCACAGATACTATCACCAAGTACAGTACCCAACACTTCCACAAATACCTCATCATCTTTCATATTTACCAACATACAAGGTATCAAAACACGCATTACAAAACTTCACTTTATAATTGGCCTCTTAATCATATTCCTGAGTCGGAATATGATTCAGAAATCGTAACGAACTCACATATCTTGTACATATATAAAATACACACTTCTCTTACTTTGGTTACGATAGGATAGGTCAGGTTAGGTTGAAGACGCAGCGGTGAAAGTTTCTCAGGGCTTAGATGTGACTCATCCCCTGAGTCACATTCCTTAAAGCCTGAGACTATGCCCTCCAGGTGCTGGCCAACCCCACTAAGAGCATTCGTCAATTTTAAAATCGTTTAACAAAAGCAATATTTTATCGAATATATATATATTATAGTTTACGGGGTACCACCTCTGGTGCAAGTGTAGGGACCCATAGCCTCAGAGAAGACAATAAGGAGTACCTCAGAGAAGACCTTGTGGATCCTCACTGAACACTTTGATGTTTTCTTCTCCTACCACACCTCTTCTTTTTGTATATGTATTTGTATATATATATATATATATATACCATCAAAAGGAAGTGATAGCCAAGGCTATTTGAGCCACTTCCCCGACGACCTATCCCGACCTATCACTTCCTTTTGACGGCCGTGATGGTCAAGTGGATTAAGGCGCCCTGTAGTTACCAGTTGCGTTGCTCCTGGGAGTATGGGTTCGAGTCATTTCTGGGGTGTGAGTTTTCATTCGCATATAGTCCTGGGGACCATTCAGGCTTGTTCGCATTTGTGTTCCTCACGTGTGCCCCAAAGAATGAGGTGATTTGGTGAAATGCTATGCCCAAGATTACCATCCGAGTTGCCGTCGGGGAAGTGGCTCAAATAGCCTTGGCTATCACTTCCTTTTGACGGCCGTGATGGTCAAGTGGATTAAGGCGCCCTATAGTTACAAGTTGCGTTGCTCCTGGGAGTATGGGTTCGAGTCACTTCTGGGGTGTGAGTTTTCATTCATATACATATATATATATATATATATATATATATATATATATATATATATATATATATATATATATATATATATATATATATATATATATATATATATATATATATATATATCTGTGTATCAATGACCGACAGGCTCATCAGAGTTGCGGGGCATTAGGTAACGGGGCTCTCTCTCTCTGCTGGACAACCGGCTGTGGTAAGGCTTCTTTTAAAAATGTCGTTAACCTCTCCTTGTCTTGCATGCCATCCTCCTGTCCTTTGGCAGAGAAGGTCATGCCGTCTGTACCTGTCGGCCTCTGCCTCGCCACAAATACACCTGCATTCGGTGTGGATTGGGGCAGAGAACCACAGCAATTCGGAGGGCCTGCGGTGTGAGACACGTGCCGGTTGCTGACATTGGAGTTGCTAATAGGAAGTCACCTGCATGGGGAGCTGCTACAGCTCGGGCTGTATATTTAGGCCTAAGATATGTTAATTAAGTAGGGTATTTTTGTTCGACTGACCTGATTTAATCAATCTGTGACCGGGTTGGATTTATAAATGTGCAATTAGAATATAGGCAGCGAAGCACTACTCAAGAAATATTCGAACGTCATCAGTTGAGAGTTATGTGTGTTTGTCATTCATAAATAGGGAGTTAGGCGGCTGGATTAACGAGCATTTGGCCTTTGTTGATGATGATGCTGGTCGTCCTCGTAAATAATTGATGGTCCCCTTAAAGCTCATGGATGCTGCCCTTAATACTGCCCATAATACTTCATACTTATCCCCTGAATCTTCCCCTGGATCTTCTTGAGCGCCGCAGCAGCAGGTACAGAGAAAAGTATTATTATTAGTGTTATTATTACCATTGTTGTTGATGTGTTAAACTTTAATCCAACAGGCGACGATGTTGGCTGCCATCCAGGTGAGCCAGAGAGGGGTCTTGAACTCCGTCCTGACTCCACCTGCTTGGGCGTTGTTGCCTCTCTTCGTAATGTACCTATAAAAGGATTTTAAAGTTACATCAGAACTGCAAGCAAGCACGCACGCACATCCTATTGGATCAAAGTTGTATCAGTGATCTATTTCCCCGAGCTCTTTTGAATGGTCTCTTTTTTAATTTCTCTGTGTGTGGTAGCGGCTCCAGCTTGACCAACAAGAGAGGATGTTGTATGTGGCCAAGATGGATACGCACGCGTAGTCTCATGCCAGTTGTGTGCCATTCCTCCAAGAGCGACGTGTCATTACATCCGGTTGACTAGCAAAGGCAGTAGAGTTACAGAACATTAGAAGACGAAGCTCCCACTCTCTGCTTGACACTGGGCATAGGCAAGACTCCTCTTAATGATATCATTGACTTCGTCTTGCCTTATATGTTACTACTTTTCCGCAGTGAAGGCCATGCAGGAATTTTCTACAGCGCAGTGCAAATTCATTTCGATCTGCCTCGTCACAAATACACTTGTATACTGTACATTGTGGGTCGCAACAGAAAGACGGAGGATGACCACAATGCGGATCAAGACGTGAGTGTATTGAGCTTATATTCTGCTGGTGTAGTATAGAGAAGAGAGAGAGCAGGAGTGTTGGAGTGACTGAGTGTGGGTGGGTAACCTACAAACACCCCCCCCTCCTCCTCGGGGTCGGTCACTCACACCTCTCGCCTCCCCAACCTTCACCCCTACCCCCAGCCCACTAACCCACAGCCTCCACCCCCCACAGCCTACAAACCCACAGCCTCCACCTCTCCCCCAGCCCACTAACCCACAGTCTCCACCCCCCCCCCTAGCCCACTAACCCACAGGCTCGTCCCGGAACTGAGAGGATTGAGCTACGAGGAAAGGCTAAAGGAGCTGAACCTCACATCCCTGGAAAGCAGAAGAGTAAGGGGGAGACATGATAACCACCTACAAAATTCTCAGGGGAAATGACAGGGTGGACAAAGACAAACTCTTCAGCACGGGTGGGACACGAACAAGGGGACACAGGTGGAAACTTAGTACCCAGATGAGCCACAGAGACGTTAAAAAGAATTTTTTCAGTGTCAGAGTAGTTAATAAATGGAATGCACTAGGAAGTGATGTGGTGGAAGCTGACTCCATACACAGTTTCAAATGTAGATATGATAGAGCCCAATAGGCTCAGGAACCTGTACACCAGTTGATTGACAGTTGAGAGGCGGGACCAAAGAGCCAAAGCTCAACCCCCGCAAGCACAATTAAGTGAGTACAATTAGGTGAGTACAGCCTCCACCTCCCCCCACCCCACTAACCCACAGCCTCCACCCCCCCCC